CACTGGTGTTCTACAATCCTAATAACAGGAAAAGGTCAGTTTCAGACCAATGGAGTATTTAGGCATTAACACAGTTTACATCAGTAAATGCATAATGGTCATATATAATATTGTCTTTGCTGTTTATATGTGTGTTAATGTGTCATATTGCAGCTGTATAACACCACACCCTGTACCTTTAAAGCACAGATTTGAGACTCAAACAGTGAAGACTGTTATTAAGGACCTGGGAAAACAAATGCGACTAATGGAGTTTTGGTGCCATTTTTTACTGACAGTGAGGGCACAAGCATCTCGTAGCCATCTTTAATCGTATGACATTTAAAGGGCATTGTCATCAGACTCTCTCTCCTCTCTGTCACACAGACATGCATACTATGCAGTGTCATATCAGTATGCTTTAACATACATGTGCTCACACACATGTAAAAAGTTTTCAGTTTTTCATTAATGAGGTGCATGTGTGTGTTTGTGTTTGTGTTTGTGTTTGTGTTTGCGTGTGTAACAGGAATGTAAGTTCTGCAGGCGAGGAGGCCCGGAGGAGGATGAGGGAGTGTGAGGGTCTGACAGACGCTCTGCTCTACGTCATCCAGACCGCTTTGGGGAGCAGTGAGATTGACAGCAAGGTAACTCTCTCACACACATACAACCAAATCTCTCAGCCTCTAGCTCATGCACACACAAAACAACAACAATGAAAGATGCACATACACACAATGATAGAAAATGATTTTGTAAAGTCCTGTGCTTGTGTTTGTGTGTTTGCATGTTTGTGTGTATATCACTGTTTAAAAATTGAAATATTACTAGTTATTTTTTGCTTTGTAAACATGTGTTTAATGATGATTACTCTGTAAAAATATTTATGATTTACATACATTTACATGATTATATGCAAATGTGTTTTATCTGTGTCTTTGTAGACTGTATGTATACACTGCATATGCATATTAATCTGTATAAGTTGTTTGTATGTTAATGTCAAAGGCTTGCAGGCCACAAACTGCACACTGTAATAAATGAATGCTTGGTAAGTTTCCTGCACTGGCATATATGAATCTGTTGATTAATACCTGTCACTAAGACTTATTTCAAGAAAATATCACTGATCATTCAATAATATATTGAAATAACAAACCACAGTTTCATTTACACTAAATAAAGACACAGAAACACACACAACCCAAAAAATACACTATAAAACCCCAAGCTTAACTTAACCGAACTTGTCATTTTGTACAGTGCACCATATATTACTCAACCCAGATGGCCAGTGACACAGAAACATTACTAGTGAGAGTGTGTGTGTGTGTGTTTGCATATATGCTGCCTACACAGATGTGTGTTTGATGTGTAAAGAGTGTCTGTTGTGTCAGTGTATAGAGGGGTGTGTGTGCATGTGTGTTGAGTGGAGATGTGAAGTTTTAATTCCTTAAAAATCCTTCACAAGATCAAAGTCTGAGACTGTTGACTGCATAGCTACTCACAACAATAGGATTAGTGTGTGTGTGTCTGTCCGCATTATGCACACAGCAAGTGTGTGTGTGTCTATGTTCATATATTGTATATTATACAGTCAGCACTGCACAGTATGTTCATATTTGTCTGTGTGTTTGAGTGTCTGAGTGTGTCTGTGTGCATATGTGTCTACAGTCAGATTTTTTGTGTGTTTGTCTGTTCGCCTGATTGCCATCTGTCCCTCCTTCATGTCTATCTTCTTTCCCATCTCTCTCTCTCTTACCATCAGGACCGTAGAAACTGTGGTGCATCCTGAGGATAACTTGTCATATCCGACTGGCTGGCAGAGATCGTCTCACAGCCAGCAGGGGGGCGGGAGGAGCTCGACGTCTGTTATGTGACACTGGCGGGGATGCTGGGGCAAGAAGAAGAAGAAAAAGAAGGGACATGACCAGGTGGGAAACCAGAGAGTTAGAAAAAGGGAGTCTTTAAACATGTCTGCTGTTGTTTCTTCATTTTTTCGGATTAATTCTTTATTCAGTTAAATGCTTGTTGCTGATGCTACATGTGAGATAAAAGTGGTTGGCAGCCTCAGCTGAAGGTTCAGTGGGTTTCTTGCTTTGGCAGGGTGCTCAAGTACTGCAGATCCATGTAGTTAATAATATGCTGGATGATAATAATAATATGGTGGATCCATCTTTGTTAATCCCTCTAAGCAGACCTCTGATGAATATCCAGACAAGTTAATGGACTGTGTTTGGTCTCAGCTGAATGCTGTTGCCCTCTGCTTGCTTGTACAAAAAGAGGATCAGGGCCTGGTTTCTCAGACATACAGAGTGAGCAATGCTAACTTCTGAAATCAGCCAAGTCTAATCTGTAGCACACACACACACAAAGGCACACACAGTCGGGTGATATCGTTAGCTAGCTACACACCATCTGTCCTCTCTATATATTAAAGGGTCCAGTGTGTAACATTTAGGAGGATCTATTGGTGGAAATTGAATATAATATTCATAGGTATGGCTTCATTAGTGTATAATAACTTGAATATAAGAAACTGCGTGTTTTTGATACTTACAATGAGCCGGTTTTATCTACAGAGGCTGCGGGTTGCTTCCATGAAGGCCGCCATGTTGTACCACCATGTTTCTATGGTAACCCAGAAGGGACAAACACTGGCTGTAGATAGGGCCCTTTGTGGTTTTTGCGCATTTTGCAGCCAACATAGTTTTTCCTACTGCTTGGAAGCAAAGGGCGAAGTAAGGGAGGACAATCTGCAACTACACCAGTAGATGCCACTAAATCCTACACACCTTTCCTTATTGGAAAAAGTGGGGAAAAACTGATCTACAAAACATCCTAGTAGTCAATTAGCAGTAGTAAGGGGACTGATTAAGACTGAAGAAGCGTCAGGATGCCAGCGGCCATCACTTTAGTTCACATCGAATCAGGCTCCTCGGTTCTCAGAATACAATTTTATCATACAACCGGGACTTGGCTAAGAAAACGATGCATGGAAACGGATCTCTCATGAAATGAACCGCTTCATTGTGCGCCAGTATAGTGGCGATGGCAGGAAATAACTGCCCAATCAAAGCTGAGTATGTAGCTTGACGCATAAGCTTCAGGGCTCATGAGAGAAGAGAAACTACTTCAACAAGCAGGAACGTGGCAGCTGGATGCAGAGGTGGCAGATGGACATTCTGTGTGGAATCTAATGAACTCTTATATTAACCAGTTACGTGGGTGGGTTTTGCGTACTTTCTGTGTCAGGAGTTTAAATGTATTGTTTACATTAATTGTTCTTTAGTGGCTAAATTAATGTATTAATCAGTTTTTGCCAACAATATGATGTTTGCAACTTTGCCACAAGGGTCATCAAGGTTTTTAATTTGCACTTTGATTGTTGACTTATCTTACAGTCTTTGTCTCCCCATGCTCCCCTTTTCCTTTCCCTCTTATTTCCCATCTTATAGAATTTTAATGAGCACATACAAATCTACATTTACACAGCGAGTACATAATGGATGAGGAATTTATCTTTGTTTGTTTAATGCTGTGACTTTATTGGTTTGTATTCCCTGTCTGATGCCCACATCAACAATAAGGCATAATTATAGTACTGTAGATAGAAGGTTGTCATCTTGAGACTTTATAGAGCATCTAGTGTGTACTTTTTAAGTCTCTATCCCTACATTGTGTGTTTTCACTTAAATCATTTTGTTATCTGTCTTGTGTCGGAGCAGGTGTCACTGTTTGTTTGTTTCCAAATTGTGGATCCAGTGTTTCATTTTGTAATGCAGCTCTGCGCTGTCTCTAGTTCAGGAACATTTTCTCAGTTCATCCCTGGTTCACGCTATCTCTAGTCTCAAATGAATATTTATAAATGCACTGCAGCTTTCTTTGATATTCATGATGTTTGAGCCAGAGCTGTTTTCCACGTAACTACTAGAACTGATATTCACCTACCACCCTGATTATTTAGGGTCACTGAATAAGTCTTTAATGTATCAAGAAGAGCTTGATGATGTGATACAAATATGTGTCTTCTTAATTTTATGTTTTTTCTTGTTGTACGCAATGTCATCAACACGTGCTACAAGGTTTTCACACAGCGGGATCGGGAGATTATAGCTGTACATACAGATTAAGCCGTTTCTGTACACCTCTGCTCAGAATCAAACATACCAAGCCGATTTAGTATTTCTCTCTGGATTTCAGGGTCTGTCCATCTGTTGCCAACAGGCAGAGTTTCATCCTCCGTTTAGTTAAAAAATTAGCCCTCTTGTAGTTGTAGAATTGGCAGAAACCAAGCGGCTGCCTTGGAGTAGACTCTAGCCTCTTGTCATGTTAATAAGCAATCAGCGTCACATTCTGGTTGAGTGGAAGACGTCTTTTACAACTTCTAGTGAATCTGTGGGGACTGAAAACCCAGCACTTCCGGTGGATCAGAGTGGGTGTATTGCTCATTAGCCCTGCATGCTTTTCCCCCCTTTCATTTCTAGAAAAGACAGAGAATCGAGATTTTTTTTTTTTTTTAAATGGTAGTGATGAGCCAGGCCTTTAACTTCCATTTGTCAAGCGAACCCTCAATGAACTTTTTGCGAATACAAGCAGAACCAGGGAGATGAGGGATCTTAAAACTAACTCTGGGATCAGATTGTAAAGGGACAAATCATAACCTCTCCGTAATGATAATACGTAACCCTCCCCCTCTCCCCTCTATCTGTCTGTCTCCACTCCAGTGCAGCTGTGGGTGATTACCATGAAGTAGCGATTGGGGAGCTTGTTGAAGAGGGCAAAACTCTATCAACTCTGGGGTAATTAGAGGAGAGAATGAGGAGAGGAGAGGAGGAAAGGATATGTTGGTGGAGAGGGGGCATAAAGGGAGAGTGTAAGGGAAGCTGAGGCAAAGGGAGGAAGCTAGAAAATACAAAAGGATGAGAGAGGAGAGAGGGGAAAGAGGAAGTAGTAAAATAATAAGGTCAGGTTAGCTCAGTCAGTAGAGCTAGTGATCCATGTACAGAGTTGCTGCAGCGGCCCAGGTTCGAATCCTACCTGTAGCCCATTGCTGCGTGTCATCCCCACTCTCTCCGCCCCCCTTTCCTGTCAATCTTCAGCTGTCACTATACAATAAAGGCAATAAAAGGCCAAAAAATAACTTTAAAACAAAAATAATAATAAAAAGGTCAAAGGCAAACAAGGAAGTACGGGAGATGTTTTTCCCAGTGCAGTGTGTTGGTAATATTACAGAGGCTTAACAGATGACATGTGAGATTACCTTACTGCAGATGGAAGGAGAATGATATTTCTATACAAAATACATATAGAAACACTTAGACTGATATTATATAATGACAACAAGTAGGAAGCATACGGGACATCCCAGTAATATTTACAGTACAACTACAAATCAGAATCAGATAAAGTATCTACTGTACAGGCCAAGCAGGCTTCTTATTTCTCACTGTTGCTAGCAGATTTTAACAGTTATAGCTAGCTAGCTAATTAAGGTAACGTGAAATGACTAAAAACGCTGTCTCCGGCTGACTTTTTTAATATCTCGAGCTGGTCTCGAGCTGTACTTTTGTGTGGATAGTCTATTTTGATAAAGGTAAAATGTGTGACAAACAGAATGAAAAAATAAATATTGCAGTTCTGAAGAGATGCCCTGGCCTACAAATCTTGTTTTCCAGATTTAAGAAAACATGTTTGTTTGGTACAGATCGAAAACATTTTTACATTGTTGTGATTTTGACGCAATGACAAAAGCTAGCTTCTTATTTCTAACTGTTGCTTGCAGATTTAAACAGGTTTGGTTAGGTTTTTAGAATGAGTAAGTGTGTTTGACACACACACACACATAAAATAATATTGTCTTGTAACAATATATAACACAATATCTTAAGTGTAAAACAAAAACCCCAATAACTTAATTCCAGCTTAATCAGAATAATTCATTTGGACCAACGAAATTTGCAAAATGATAACATGCTACGTTTGTGTAATCTCAATGTGATTGCATTAAAGGACAATAAAGAATAATATATTTACCAGCCCTAGTCTGGATGAAGAGCAGGTATTTACCAGTGTCATATTTGCATTTAAATGTGCAGTGCTCTATTTCCAAAAATAAGGGGGATGCAACAAACAATCCAATAACCACTCCAGGGCAGCTCATAATGACTATTTTTTGGTGCAAATTTATTTATTTTTTTTTCATAATGCGCCTACACATCAACACACGTTAGTCTAATGTCAGTCCCACTAATCTGTGTGAATTATATTGCAGTGTCACTGACAAATCTGTTCTAGTCAAGAGCCAACGTTTTCACAGTTATTACTGATGGATAGTACAGTATGTGTGTGTATCTTTCAAAATGCATCATCAATACAGGAGGAAATGTCAGATTTCAATTACAGAGGAGATAGAAATACAGAACGCACAAATAGATGAATGCCACCTTATTTATACACTGTTTATGAATAGTAAATCTCTCTCCCTCCTTTCCCTGTTCTTGCCTGAGGGGACCATGCTGGCACACAACCACTGTCAAACCTCGCCTCACACAGAATTCAAAATGCTTTTTCTATCCTGAATTATGTCTCATCTTCCGCAGTGGGACGGTGTCGGCCCATTTCCAGACTTGGCGGAGCCCCCGAAAGGCATCCAGATGTTATGGCACCCCACCATCGTCAAGCCCTACCTCACACTGCTGTCTGAGTGCTCCAACCCAGACACCCTGGAGGGAGCAGCTGGGGCCCTGCAGAACCTAGCTGCTGGCAGCTGGAAGGTAAGGACCCAGTGCTGTGCCTATATCCCTGTGATACTAAAGGACATCTGCACAAGTGTATTGAAATTCCTGTGGGTTCTGAAAGTGAGAAATCTCAGCACACGGAAAAGTAACAACCCTAACAGCCCCCCATGTTTTGGTGGTTAAGTGCTGTGGGATAGCAAACCTTACTGACTGGCCCTTTTAAATTCCCATTTGGCAGACATCTCTTTGAAATCAACACTTTTATGTAATAGCATCTAAACGTCAGAGTAAGTATCTTATTTTCATCAGTATGTCACATATAATAACATAAATTATACAGGGGGCCATTTGATGAACACTTTAGATTTAAAATGTTTGTAATTTTCCAGCCTCATTAAGTCTTAACTGTCAATTAATTTGATGGACAGCACTTTGGTTTGGACGGGCAGCTTGTGAACAGCTTTTGGACAAATTCTAACAATAATCCTGCACTTGACAGATGCCTTTTCTTATGAAATACAATAACTTAGAAAATGCTAGTGAATATAAGATCATCGATCAACAACTCCTTTTTTGGGAAAAGCCATGAGATTTAGCTGAAAGCTTCAGAAACACCAAGTAAGTAGACCTTATGTTCGGAACTCCTTTAAAAGGTCAAGAATGAACCTTCAAGTTCAATATCTGTTTAATTACAGTACCCAAAAATATTTTATAAAACACTTCGATGGCAATTTCGGTCTGTCGGTCCATCAGTCCACCACTTTGTTCCACACCTAACGTTACTTCCATGAATCCTCATGAAATCTCCCTGTGACTTTTTTAATATCTCAAGCTGGACAAGAACTGTACTTTTGTATGGATGGTCTGTTGAGCGTTCGCCAAACCAAGTTTAGTCTCTGACTGAAATATCTCACCATTGTCATGACAATTTGTCCTGATATGTTCCCCAGAGGATGAATCCTACTAATTTGGTGATCCTATAACAATTCCCTAGCGCGACCAGAAAGTCAAAGTCACTTATCCTGTGGGATATATTTACATCTATTCAATCGAAAATTTGGTGCCTATATTCATGGTTCTTAGGCAATGAATACTACTGATCTTGATGACCTTTCCTCTAGTGCCACCATTAGGGTTGACATTTTTGGTTTTAGTGAATTATGGTTAAGACACATGCTGCAGGTCAAAATTTTCATTGACAAGAAATAGCCAATATTGGATAACAGTAAAGGAGTTAGCCCCGAAATGGTACATCAGTTGAAATGATCAATCAGAAATAAGGGATAGGCGCCTGGTTAGCTCAGTCGGTAGAGCTGGCGACCCATGTACAGAGTTGCTGCAGCGGCCCCTTTGCTGCGTGTCATCCCCTCTCTCTCTATAAATAACTTTAAAAAAAGAAAGAAAAAAAAAGAAATAAGGGATAAAAACAAATCTCTGATCCTCTGTCCCGCCCAGTGGTCGGTGTATATCCGGGCTGCAGTGCGTAAGGAGAAGGGCCTCCCTATCCTGGTGGAGTTGCTGAGGATAGACAACGACCGGGTGGTTTGTGCTGTGGCCACTGCGCTGAGAAACATGGCTCTGGACATCAGAAACAAGGAGCTCATTGGTGAGTTGTTCATTCCCAGCAAACAAAGATAGTTTCCAAACAGGTGCCAATGGGTTAATGCATAATTTAAAAGGCAAACCAACTTTAGTCAAGAGTTTAATTTGAGTGTAATTTTTTAATGTGCTTAATTCTGCCTCAGTTGATGATAATGGCACTGAAAACAAGAGCAGTTATCTTAACCCGCTTACAGAATTAGTCACTTACTTAAATAATGAATGTGATACTTGTAGAAATGTTTAGCGGTAATTATTTAAAAAGGGTTAAAAGGTCATTTGTGTCGAGGGTTGTTACTGTTAGGATTGGCTGACTGACAATGGTTTGTCCAATAAAAAAGTCTGTATCTATGCAGATATTCAGATAGTTCTTAAGCCGGTAGCAGTAGTGTTGCTCTGACTGATGGTTTGATGCTTGATTTTCCTTTGGAGACCGAGTGATGTCTGTAATAAACTCTGCTTTTCTGCTGGTCCCCATAGCAACAACCTCATGTCTCCTTCCACTTACTCTGTCTGATGCTTGAGGCTCTGAGCTAAGCTGTGTCTGTCTGTGTGTGTATGCTTGTGCTGTCTACGTATGTGAATGCAGCCGTTCATGTGTATCGTACATGTAGGTTGTAATCTTACAAACCTCGGGGCATGCATGTATATTTTGATAGGACATACTGTCCTGCCCTCACATGTGTCGTGTTAACATGATGAAATTGCGTTAGAGACACAACATATAGTGTAGCCGCTTGCTCAGAGCTTTCAGCAGTACATATCAATACTGTCTGCACAGGCAGGTCCGCTGTGGGCCAACTGCTGTTTTATTGCTGCCATTTTACAAACTTGATTAAGAGCTTTATTTTCCGTGTTTGTATGTTTATAATAATTGAGTATATTCCCAATACTGCTTACTTACGGTTATAAGGCAGTTTATATATGTAAATTACTTTGATTATCTGGAGAGAATTGTATTGTTTTTTTTTTTTTTATGGAAAAACACAAAAATTTAAAGAAAGTTAAACTTAGGGAGTTTGGATATAAGTTACAAATGGTTTTAATTCTGTAATCTACAGCATGTTATGTTTTCACTTGTTAAGTGTGTTATTATTATATTTAGTATTAGTAAGTTATTATATATGAATCAAAATAATCTGGAGTATATACTGTATACTTCATGCACCAGCAGGATTTTTCCAGCACTAAAACACATATAGTGTGGATGTGAACTGTCAGTTGGTCATGACATGCCGCCACAACCACCACCCCAGGGTGATGACCCAATCAGAATGAAGGGCAGAGGGCAGAGTGGACAAGATTGCCTGACAGCAGTACTGGGGTGTCATGGGAAATGTAGTCAGTCTGTGTTAGATTTCCTGGCCAAGTCAGCATTATTGTCTGACAGCCACCCAGCAAGGGTGTATTTTCTTCGCTGTAGCTGGGAGTTTTAGCTGTCATAGGTTTTAAACGTAAGAAAAGGACAAGAGCAGGGACTCAGGGACTGTATAAAATGATTAGGGGCTGATGGGTCAGCACAGAAGAAGGGTCATGTTCTTTTTGTTTTTTTGCTGAAGTGAGTTTAAATTTTGGGAGAGAGCAGGGGAGGGTCCTTTAACTCTTTCTCAATTCTTGTTTGAGAATAGAATTGACGTATATTATCATCTTATTATGTGTAGCTAATAGTTACTGAACTTTATTGTTACATCCTTCACTATATTCTGCAGAAATTCAGAAACTAAAAGTGTCACATAAAGTTCACCTATAGAATAAGTCAAGTTCAGCGTCACACGTTGCCAACTTTTTCTACTAATGGGAGAAGTTAAAACTGTATTTGCCTTGGCCTGACTGTGTTGTAAATGTTTTATTGGCATTAATGTTGAATTAAAAGTCAAAAAACCTTATACATACAACACTGATCAAAGTTAGCATAACAAAAGCTCAAATTGTCTTTTTTTCACTTTGTCTTCTCCTTTTAATGTTTAACCTACATTATTCCACCCCACTCCCACCCACCCTGTCACTCTTACCCACCCTGTCACTCTTACCCACCATGCCCACAGGTAAATACGCCATGAGGGACCTGGTGCACCGTTTGCCTGGGGGCAGCAACAACAACAACAGCAGCGGCGGCGGGGGAGTAGGAGGCGGCAACACCAGCAGCCTGGTGGGGAAGACCATGTCGGACGATACCATCACGGCTATCTGCTGCGCACTGCACGAGGTCATCACCAAGAACATGGAGAACACCAAGGCCCTGAGGGACGCCGGCGGCATCGAGAAGCTCATCGGCATCGCCCGCAGCAAAGGAGACAAGTAAGCCAAGTGGGAAGAAGTTGTCAGGTGGAAGAGGTTGGAAGTGAAGAAAGTATAGGATGAGAAGATGAGGTTGTTGGTGGAAGTATGATCTTTGGGCAGTGTTCTTAGCAAACTTTAACAGTTTTATAGTTTTATAGACGCTGCAACAGCATCAAACTGAGACTAGAAAGAACAGAGAATGATTTGTTTTTCAATATGTCAAATGTGAATAAAAACTACAGTACCCACAAGAAGATAAGACAAGAACCACAGGTGCATCTTGATATTGCCTCGTAGTAACAATCGAAACACTGCCTTGTAGTAATTTATCCAGAATAAGAACACTGAATTTAAACGCCAGGATTTTAAGCTTGGTGGTTGGAATTTTTCTAAGCCAATGCCTGAAAATTTGTATGTCCGTGGCAGATTCTGAAGATATGGAGTCTGCCATGTTGAACCGCCATGTTTCTGCAGTAGCCCAGAACGGACAAACCAAATACTGGCTCTAGGAAGGGCCTTTCACACCACTATATTTTCTCCGACACGCTTGGAATGCTGAGCTGTAGTGAAATGGTTACAATCTGCAACTTAATTTACATTTAATACAATTAAGTATGTGATTCAAAGGTAACTTAACCTCACCAAACTGCATTAACACTGTAATGGCAGCTGCTGAGCCACCAATCTAGCTAGGATACTTTTCATTTACAGAAAACAGCTAGGGGAAAAATCAATAGGTACTTTTAGTGCCAAAAAACTATTCTTAACACAAATGTGGTCCTTACTTTTCATCCAAAAGTTGCATTAATTTTCTCCAATGCTGTGTGAATGAGCAAATGCTAAAACCAATATCTGTTATTTTTCAAAGTATAAATCCTCAGTCATTTCTGGAGATACTGAAGGCAGATAAATACAGATAAACACATAATTTTCTTGTTCTTCAAAGCCCGTTTTTTAAGTTCCCTGCTTTGCATCAGTGTGAGGGCCTGATATGCAATCACAGAATCCAAAACAATAACATTTGCCCAAATGACTTGAAGAAATAAAGTTTAATTTCCTAGACGCTGATAAGGCCATATGAGCCAATTACACCCACAGCCATTAGTCAGTTGAGTCAAACCCTTTAGGATGCTGAATGAAATATTGGCCAATCAATCAATCATCCAAACAATTATTCCATTTGGCCAATTTAAGTGCCATTTTTGAAGCGACAAAGAAGACATTTTTCATTCTGCATCTTTGGAATCTGCAGTGAGAAGTTACTTCACATACTTTGTCTAGTGCTTCTGCTTTAATGTCTGTTTCCTCATTATTCTGCATTGTGATGTTTTGATAGCTCCCACTTGCACAAAACAAAGGACAGTCAAGCTTTATACTGCATGTGTTTTTTCCTCTCTGCTGAATTCCCAGACATAGTCCTAAAGTGGTAAAGGCAGCATCTCAAGTCCTGAACAGCATGTGGCAATACAGAGACCTCCGCAGCCTCTACAAAAAGGTAAAGTCTGCATGGCTGAATGTGCTCTGGCTGTATTTACACTGCAGATGTCAGTAATGTTGGAGTTTCAGTAGGTATTACTGAAACTACAGTAATAATGATACCATTGTGAGACATGTAGATTATTTCTAACATGGTCTCATTTCTTCTCCTCTCCTCATTCCTTTCCTTTGCCGTTTGTCTTCTTCAGGATGGCTATTCCCAGTACCATTTTGTCGGCTCTTCCTCCACGATAGAGAGAGACAGGCAGCGACCTTATTCTTCCTCTCGTACTCCGTCCATCTCTCCCGTACGAACCTCCCCCAACAATCGATCAGGTGAGTCTAAACCCCCCTCTCTCTCCTGCCTTCCCTTTTGTCCTCCATCACTCTTTCCGTCAGTACAGTCCAGTCAAACAAACGCCACTCAAATACAGCTGAAGTCTGCTTTCACCTTCACACTACGGCGGCTGCCCACAAATTATACTGCTGTCAAATACAATCCTTGCACCGTGCCCCCTAAAAAAAGTTTACGCCCTTGCATTGTCAAAATTAGAATTTGACTATGGGCTTTTCAAGGATTCAGTATTTCTGAGCTCTTTGGATTTTTCATGTGTTAAAGTAATGGCTTTTTGTCATTCAGGGCGGTCACAGAAAGAGCCACAGTGCTGGTGAGATATTTGGCTCCTGGTGTGCGAGAGGAAGTGTTATCGGTGCTGGAGAACAGTGTTTTTATGTTCTTTCAGTAATAGAAAAAAAAAAATGTTATATCTACAGATGCCATGGGTCACCTTCCATGGAGTCCGTCATGTTGAACCACCATGTTTCTACAGTAGCCTAGAATGGACAAACTAACAAGTGCTGTAGATAGGATCTTTCACGTTTTTCGCTAGTTTGGCAACCACTGTAATTTCTCCTGCACACTTCACAGCCTGTTGTCTTTCCTAAGTTGTCAAATACAGACACAAGCGGTGTTTAGTTGGTTGCAATCTGCAACTTCACCACTAAATGCCACTAAATCCTACCCACTGGTCCTTTAAACTCATGGTTTATTAAACTGACTTTTTTTTTTTTTCACAAGAGATGATCAAAGAAGTGATACATGTATCACAGTGCTCTTAATATGACGTTATTGTGCAGTGTTGGGTAGTGCTACATTACTAGTAATTATATTTCAGTAATTATATTACAGTTAAGAAATAGCATATATTACTTTTGTTAATAATGTAACCAATTACTGATTTGAAATCCAACAATCCAGTCACATCCCAGGATTCATTTTTGAAACTGTGGAGGAAGCTAGTTTGGAGGATAGAAACACTTACATTCAGCAGCAGCAGCTGGAAATATTCCATGTACTTATGATTTTAGACAAACAAAACTGGACGCTGTAAGTCTGAATTTCATGGAGAAAAGACACTATTACTGATTTTATGGTGACCAGCAGAAAAGTAATATTACTAGTAGTGTAACTGATTACTGTTGGCAGGGAGTAAAACGTAAACTAATAATATTACTTTTTAAAAGGGAAATGAGTAATAAACTGCATTTTATAAGTAACTAGCCCAACACTGTTAATGTGACAACATTCATCATTCATTTTCCCATTGTCATTAAGTGGCTTTTACTTTCATAGAATTCAGACCAAGCAAATTAATTTCTCAGATAGGATTGTAAACACATATGCAGTGTCATCAGGACCTTTTTAAATATAAAATATACACATATTTCCATCCCGGCATTCGAGGATGGTGCTGTTAGATCCAATCGCCTTGCGTACTTCTACACACAGTGACACATAAACACACAATACCAAGATTGCCCTTACACACATACGGAGCAGTCACATTGTTAGTATACATTATAATATTCACTATCATCTTTTTTAACATAAAATATAAACATATTTTTCATCCCTGCAATCACACAACATTACTCTAATAATAAACTGAGTATGAACATCACGACTGCGTGCTGCTGATTCTGAATACAGTTATCATAACATAAATAAGGCCCACAAAACTGTTTTCATTTAACAGATATTTGTGGAAGCTTTTCTGACAAACTAAAAGTCAGACATCAGATAGCTTAAGCATTTAAAATAGATCTCTTTTTTTTACCACACACCCTAAGACCCATTCAGAACAGGTTTTGGGCATTATCTACACCACTGTCCACATTCTTACTGGGCTGAAGTTCCATCATTATCAACTCTATATATTCCTGTAACCAATTATCCAAACAAAAACAATTAGGTTTTCTTGTTTAACTGTAAAGAAAGCTAACGCTAGCAGCCATTGTGTTGTTGTAGATTTAATTCTGTCCGCCCTGCTCCCTAATAGACACACCACTGAACAAAGCAAACCCATAATATGGAACTTGTGTGGCAACAATCCAGAATCTAAGGTACAGCCATACCAACAATGATCTGATATGCTGTGGCTCATTTTCTTACATTTAAGTGGAGTTAAATTTGTTCTAAATAGTATCTGTGTCATACTGATATGTCTGAATGCTGCATAATTGACTCCCACTGTTTTGCAGACAGATCCAGATCCTCCACAGATCCCACTGCGGTTTAATATTCTCTATGCCTGTAACATAGGGGACGGGGGGCAGTACTCATATAATAATGTTACTGTATGTAATGAATCATCAGAAAAACTTTGTGTGTAGAAACGGGGATTTCGGGGATAGGATATACTTATTATTTTTCTTGTATCCACAAGGAAGTGAGTCAGAACCCCCTTATTACTTTTTCATTTGAAATTGAAAAACCAATGCACAGTCATTTTTCTGTCACAAAAATGCGCAGTGGATTTGTATTGCCCTCACGTCCACTATGGGCACATCCTTTACTGACTGCTAGCGGGAAGACACTTAAATAGAATATGGCAGCTCCAAAATATCACTGAAATGGGCCAGATTGTTAAGAATGGGGATATTTTAGCATTCATTGAGCAGAAACTAATTTTTAGGCTTAACAATACAGGCAATACATGCAGCTAAAAGATATATTTAAAGGTGAAGTCATTCATTCTGGAGAAAGATAGTCGACTGTTGACTCTCATTTTTAGATTGTCAAATATGATGCGCTCATTCAGACATGAGACCGACGTTGCCATCTCTTACGTAACGCATGTCTCCTGTATTACCAAACAAGTTGCATGTTTTCCATCGTATTTCATGAGCTTTTTACAAGCTCACTCTGGGGAGATATATTGCTCTCTATTCATTATTCACTACATAATTTAAATCAATTTGAAATGACTATGTGAGTGCATATGAATACAGGTTTCATGTATACATAGGTATATATATATATATAAATATATATATATTTTAAAAAAATACTGGAAGTGGATTTTTAAGAACTGGATTTATGAGGCTGTCAACTGGCAGTGGAAAAATGATAAACCGTTTGGTTTAGAAGCTAATCTCACATTTTTTATTTTGTTTCTCAGTTTACAGCTGTGCAAGCAGATGGTCCATCAAGCCATTTGTTTAATTTCACTTCTGAGGAAATTTTTCACATATAAAAGAAAGTGTTCCATTGTGTGTATAAAGCCTTAGGAATATGTACATTCCCACAACAGTTGTTTACCGCAGCAGCAGGCACAGGGTAACTGGTCGAGTAGGTGTGGATAATAATAAACTGGTGATATTAGCAGAGCATTAATGAGCGTATGGATCAGTGCTAACTAAGTTATAACGTATAGAAGAGAGACAAAAGAAGAGACAGGCGGCATCTGTCTCTTCTAGCCAGCAGCTTCTATGTGAAAGGCTGGTGATAATGATCTGAATATTAGAGGAAACGCTACTCACCCATATGTCACTGAATCAATAGCCATGTTTCTTCCAACATGGGTAACCAGACCTAACTCATTATCTTTGCCTGTCAGAGTCCAGAATTTGTTATTTTCTTCCTCCTGTGGGTGTGCATGTTTTCTATGATACTTTTTCTATTTGGGCCTGTTTGGTACAAGTGGATTTTAGGGTGAGTAATGCCAAGACAGACAGAGATTAACAGGCCAGTGGGAGTTTAAGATGGTGAAAATATGTACATGTAGTAAATAAAGGTGGAGAGAGAGTGGCCTGCAGCCAGACAGAGTGAAAGACAAGACACAGGCAAGAGTAAACCAGATAGACAGGGAGGGATGACTCAGTGTTTACCGCTTTGAAATTACAACCTGGTCACAAAGGTAGATTTGTTATGAATGACACAATACTCACAGAGTCACAATACAAACAGCAGCCAGTGGCCCCCGTTTTTCACTTATTTCAGGGTGATGGTTAGAGGAAATGCACACAGTGAAGCCTCAGACTGCTGTGTAGAGTCATGCAGGTAAATACAAAACCTCAGATGCTCAGACAAGTACAATTTCCAAATCGCTTTGGCCTTTCCTCTATAAAATACTCCAGTGTAGTCTAGTCCTTCCTCTTGTTGTGTCCCTCTTATAAATCCAAAAGTTTATCGATATAGTGTTGATGATGGATTGAGGGTTAAACATCTTCTCTGTGTGTTTGTGTGTTTGTGTGTAGCGAGTGCCCCTGCCTCCCCAAGGGAGATGCTGGCGTTGAAGGAGAGGAAGGCAGATTACGAGTCAACTGGCAATGCCAGTTACCATGGCAACAAGGGTGAACACACATCCCGGAAGGACGCCATGACCGGTAGGAATTTCAGCTGTGTGCATAGTATCTGGAAGAAATAGCAACCATGCGTAAGTGTAGGTTTTACGGATATTAAAGGAATAGTTTAACATTTTGGGGAAAACGCTAATCTGTTTTCTTGAGAGTCGGACGGGAAAATCGATGCCACACTCATACAGTATTAAAGGTGAAGCTTGAGTGAGGAGATGGTTAGCTTAGCACGAAGACTGGAAACAGTGGGAAGCAGCTCCAAGATGGATTTTGACAGAACCAAGCTAGCTGTTTGCGCCCCTTCCAGTCTTTGTGCTAAGTTAAGCTAATTAGCTGCTGGTGGTAGGTTGATATTAAGAATACAGATGTGAGAGTGGTTTCAGTCTTCTCACCTCATTGTCAACAAGGTGTTATATTTAAGTAAATAGTAACAGTAAGTTAACTTTTATTAGTGATATGAACATACAGTAGATGCTACTTTCTTTTAAACAATCCAAATTCTACAATCCATCAGTTAAAAAAGAAGAAGTATTACAAATCTTATATCACCTGGTCATGTTGACAGCCAAATACATGTCACTGTAAGTCAATGTTGCAGTGAGATTTTGGAAAAAAAACACTAAATGTCACTCGAGTCCCTCACTACTCAGGGAACTGTAGAGAGTGTTGGTAAGCTCCTGACATAAATAGAGTCTAATATAATGTGATATTTTGATCAATACAATGCTTTAATTATTTATTGTGTACTGGAAACCCCATTAGTTGTTGCCTTGGAAACAACTACTCTTCCTGGGGTCCATGGGATTAATGTGTGTGTTTTCAGTGAGGGTTTCAGTGCTTCATTATAGTAATGTTTGCAGACATTTTTGCCCACTGACAGCAGTTCCAGACTCTCCTTCATCATCATCATTCACCATCATTTCAATTCTTAATGAAAGATGTGTCACGCCCACCTCCTCTCTGTCCCTGCAGGTCAAATCTCCGGTGGGTCTTCCACACTACTCAGAGGAGCATACGTGTCGCCTACTGATGACCTGAAGTACAATCAGGTACAATAAGTCACTTTTCTTTCAAATTGTTCATAATTACATTACGTGCACAGATGTGGCCATTGCTGTACTCCTAAAATGTAAGCACACAGCACTTTTCTCTTCCCTGAGACAAGTTGTGCTCGCAGAAATATCAGAGCTTTGATCTTGGAGTAGTCACTTCCTTTATGTGATAAATTACCACTATGAGCTGCCATTTAAATGAGCCACCAATTGGTAGAAGAATGAATTAGTCATGGAACAAACCAAAGAAAGATGTTAATGGAGGGGAAGAAATGAAAACACCAAAGGCAGATTTATTAATACATTTCAGCTTTTAGGTATTCCTGGTTCTCTGAGGGAAAAACATTTGAAGACTCTCAACAGTTTCGTTCAGTCTCTTGCCCTTCTTTGCATCTTTCTCTTTTGATGTTGACGTTTTTCATGCTGCACTGCAAGCTCTTCTTACCGCTTTATGACTCATATAACCTTAAAGAGAATAAGGAACTGCTGTATAGTAACCCTATAAAAAGCTATAGATGGAGACAAAATATCACAGCAAAACTAGTCCCTTTATCATATGGGAATTTAATAGTGACAGCAAAGGGGATAAAAATACTATGAAGTCCAAAAAGGTCACTATAAATTTCTAAAGACCTACATTTATACTTTATAGGAATACTGCAGTGAATTGCTCTTAGGGTCTGGCATTTGATTCTGTATTGTTGCCAGTAAAAGCCTTTCATATTACCCATCACACCCTTTGGCAGTGGTATTTCAGGCTGGTTGTATCTCTGGACTTGGCAGTCTCACAGCAACGCACAACAGTGGAAAGCACTGATGGCTGTCACCCCTGAGCAATCAAATCAATTTTGTGTTTAAATATTATTTTCTGAACTGGACAGCCAGCTACCTTGTTGTAAACCAAAACCTATTGAGCTAATGACACTGAAAACATGTCTGTATTATATACAATTGGCTTTACTGTATGATAGTACTAAACTGACCTAAACCAAAATGAGTGCTGCTAATTCACGCTTGCTGGTGATGGAAGACGGATGGCTTATGATGGAAAGTGCATCACATTGTTTTATCTAAAATGTACAAGTCACCAACAGGTGTAAGTCTGTTTTCATGATAAACCTGTGACCTGTCCTGTATAGACACATAGGGCTGCAATCAAAGATTATTTTCATTATCAATAAATCTGCTAATGTTTTTTTTTTTAGTAATCAGTTAATTGGTGGACGCCCGGTCAGCTCAGTCGGTAGAGCTGGCGAACAATATACGGAGTTGCTGCTGCGTGTCATCCCCTCTCTCTCCACCCACCTTTCCTGTCTATCTACAGCTATCTCTATCAATAAAGCCAACAAAAGGCCAAAAAAAACACTGACACACACAAGTCATTTATCACTGAGAAATGCTAACAATTGTGTTGCGTAAAACTATAATTTATTAAGACATTTCTCTCTGTAGATAGCAATTGAAAAAAGTTAAAAAAAGAGACAGTGTAGCCAATGCCTTCAATTAGCCTTGTAAGCTAACATCATGGATGAAATATAGGCTTGGGAAGGTCAGTTCAGGTCTCACATTGGGTAGTACCAGTCGGGTTCAGACCAGTCCAGCCTGAAAGAAGAATTGTAGCCTGGGTTAGCATTTTTACTGCCACTAGCTGCCATTACTCACTGGAACTTCATGTGTTATGCTAGCAAGCTCAAGCTGGCAGAAGTCTATCAATGTGCAGCGTGTGTTATGAAAAACCTTTGGAAATGTGAGGAGTCACATTCAAATTGACATCTAAAAGGGCAGTTTTAATGTTTTTGAGCAAAGTGATTTATTTCTAAAGCTGTCAGTACTTTGTGGCAATGTCCTTTCTGACACAAAGGTGTGTGCACTTCTCGGTTGTTTTTTACAGGTATTTTACTTTAGCATGTTAGAACACTTGCCCTCACTTCCTCACTTCATGCTGTTTTTAATTTTTTTGCAGGTCTCCTCTCAAGGCCTGCCTTCAGAACCCTACCCTCCTTTCCAAAATCCTCCCCCTCCCGACAGCAGCAACTACGAGGACCAGGCCTTCTACGAGAACCAGGTTCACCCGGGAGGGCGCCCCCCGCAGGGCGACCTCAACATGCACTTGCAGGGCCTCAAGTCCACCGGCAACTATGTAGACTTCTACTCAGCCTCGCGGCCCTACAGCGAGCTCAACTATGAGACCAGCCACTATCCAGCTTCTCCGGACTCCTGGGTCTAAGGGGAGTCGAGGGTGGAGGATTTGGAGGAGGAGTAGAGGATGGATGAAGGCAAATGGGATGGTGAAGGGGGTAGTTTAAAAAGTGGAGGAGAGAAGATAAAAGGACAGCTTCCCTCCCTCCCCATCCTCCCCTGTAGTTCCTGAGTAGCATCATAGGTAGCAGGAAGACGGAGGGGGAGGATGGAGTGCAGGAAGAGAGACATGAGGAGATATCTGAGACATTACACTCCTTTCACAGACATCTGAGGGGGGAAGGAGAGGGGGAAAAGAAGGAAAAGAAGTGAACGGACGAGCGGCCATGCATGTGCATGCACACCACCAACAAAACCGACAGACACATTTTCTTTCTGTGTTTAGTTTGTGATCAACTACTGCTAGAAGGTTCCGCAGACAGAGCGATGGCCTCCTGCACCTGAAGGCCTCTGGATACAGAACGTAGGAGGGACGGACATGATGAAAGGAGAAGAGGGCAAAGATAGAAAAAGAGGGGGAAAATATGTGGTGATGAAGAAGGACAGTGAAAGAGAAGAATGGATCAGTGGACTCGAGGACGGAAGGTTTTGGATTGTGAATGGAACGTGTGAGAGATACCCAGGAGAAACCTGTAAATATGTGGTATAGCAACATGGCTTTTAGTAATGTGAAGCACAAGAGGCAGAGCTGTAGGACATGTAGGACGTCTGTCACACAAACTTTTGTTTCTCTGTATGGCTTCAGCGTGATGTATCCTCCTCTGGGCAAAGAACGCTTCTGGACTTTGTCATTTGTAACAGGTTCTGTTTTTTTTCTTTTGTTGTGTTTCTACTTTTTTAATTCTCGATTCTGGTTGTATAGTATTTGATGTACACTGTACATTTACGAGATGCATTGTGTACTGTACATTGCACTATTTTCTGTGTCATGTCAGGCCTTTCGCCACCTCACTTCCTCACTCACTTACCCACCCCCAATACACACACACAAATACACACACAGACTTTCAAAGTTCATATCACAGCTCCAGATGGATATCAATGATTCGCTACTGTGAAACACTGGATATGAATTGGGTATTGAAGCATCAATTCTGGTAGGTCACGGTGCTCCTTTTACTGCCCTACAGATAGTTTTCACACAATAGCTGACAGTACAGCTGCCAAAGTAAAACAGTCGAGCAGCCTTTTCCGTGACATTTTTTTTTAGGCTAGCTTTGGTTTTTTGGTGGCTATCTTTCCACATTAACACCTCAGATCCCCATTTCGTTCTCATGAGCCCCTCCTTTGAGTGAACTGTGCTCATTGTGTATATAACCGTGCCAAACAAGGGTTACTTCCCCCCAGCTGAAGAAGGCAGGGGGGACAGTTAGGGGCGTGTTAAAGGGTCCAAGTTCAGCTGAAGCTCTCAGCAGAACATCCTTGCGGTTCTAACGATGCCAGTTTGTAAATGCTTTGGTTTTTCTAAACTGTGTTTTACTGGGATGAAAACTGTCTAACTGCACCGGGACTGGGGAGAAAAACATAAAAAGAAAAAAAAACAAAAGGAAAAAAAAACCCATGCGACCAGGCGGAGCATCGCTTCCTCCAAAGTTGTACAAATTTAGTTGATTTCTGTGTTGTAAAATAATCAATGTTTGAAGTATAAAAAAAAAAAAAAACTTTTCTGAGAGATGGGTGGCAATTCTAACTTCATGGTAGACAAAACTGTTAATAGAGTACGGATATATATTATATAAATATAAATATATACTTTTTATGTGCAGATGTGGATGTCACTTATAGCAGCAACATTATGGAAAAAGACTTGTAAAAAAAAAACAGCTACATGTAGGAATTTTGTTCACACTTTATTTTCTGGTCAACACACTAAATTGTCGACTTTGTGTAGTAATGTTGTTGCTATGTGGAGTAGAGTAGACCAGGGCCCAGGGATCCACGTTGTCACTGAAGCAGTCTAAAAAGGTGCTACATCCGTGAGAAGTATTTCCAACATGTCTGTATTTTAACTGTGCACAAAATATTTGTTCTCATTTGCATCGATAGCAAACTATTGATTATCAGCCGCGAGTTCCGATCATGTCACAGGGGACTGTTTTAAACCACATAACAAAGAACAATCAGCTGTTCATGAAAACCCTCAAAATCAATTGGTATCATGATGCTAAACAGCAAATTGAACCCATGAACGCATGAGTATTTGTTGTCAGTGAATCAGGAACTAAATGAGTGATTTATTGTTTTGTTTTTGTTTTTTCGTTTTTTTGTAAGAAAGGCAAAATTGTAAACAGACCCTGGTTCTCCCTACCCACTGCTGTTTAGAAGTTCTAAAGGTCATCTTATGATGCTTGAAAAATGACTCATAATGCAACTGTCCCCACGAAAACACTGGATGAAAAACAGACGAACTGTATTTGTTAGTGAGCATCTGGAAACTGACAACGTTATGTATGTCCTTGTGATCCTTAGGCAGAAAAATCCTGACTATAAGACCTGTATGGAGATATTACGTCGGTAACCTTTTTGTTGCTAGACCAAACGTGTTTTAAAAAGAGAATTGTGAATCTTTCTATTGCCTCAAACAGATTGCAACTGCTCCAAAAAATATAAACGGACCATCGAAGAACCTCTGACTGTGAGAGTTGTTTGTTCTGTTGCCAGGAGAGTGTCTTTGTGGTATTTCATCATGCTAAAACCAGGTTTTTTAAAAATCACAGATTTTTACAGTATTCCTAACACTTACCATGAGCTTTTACTTTGAAATCCTACTTTCCCTGCAACCTTTATTTTCCTCTCCCTCAGTACAGTCTGCAAGTCTCCTGTGTGTGCATGGGGAAAATGTTTGAAAGATAACCTAATGTGCTTGAGACCCAGTAAACACAGTGTCTATTTCATATTCTGTAATTCTTTTCTTATTTAGAAACCTTTAAACATGACAGGAACAGGAAACATAGCAAATCAGTTTTTAGGTTGCATTATTTACTAAAATCATGAATACAGCCCAAAAAAGACACATTGCCATACATTAGTGAATAAAAGTACATCTAAAATGAGGACCTTTTTTATGGCTGAAACGTAATGAAAAATAAGCGTTATAAATGAGAATTGTGCATCCTGATGGACTGACAGCAGACAATCCTCACCAGTGTGCTGTGAGACCTTTAAGTGACGCTGGACAGGAAAGGCAAAAAAAGGCAATTTGACTTCTCTCTTCTTGAAAAAGGACTGGAGACAACTTTGTCAAAACACCCAAAAGACGGAGCTCGATATTAACGTTGTGAGACTGGGCTCAGGAACAGATCTGTCCCGTTTATATAAGTACAGTTTTGACATACTTGTACTTTACATAAGTTTTTTCCATTCTCTGCTACTCTATACCATTACACATCAGGGAAATGTTGTACGTTTTACTCCACTACATTAATTTGGCACATATGGTTACTAGTTACTGGGCTAGATGCCCAAACATTTTTATTTATTACACATTTCTCTCTTCAAAAATAATGTTATTACTTTACTTATTACTCCCTGCCAACAGTAATTAGTTACACTACTAGCTAGCACAATTAGTAGGTAATTTCGACCCTTCTCCACAAAATTCAGACTTACACGCATGTATCAAAAACTCCCCCCAGCGCTTCTCTGTCGTCTCTGTTAAAATCAAGGACATGGAATATTTCCAGCTGCTGAATGTTTCCATCTTCCAAACTAGTTTCCTCCACAACTACAAAAACGAATCAGAGGATGTGATTGGATTGTTGGATTTCAGTCAGTCAGTAGGGGTTGACAACAAAAGTAATGTAACTAGTTTTTGTTTTTTTTTTTGGGGGGGGGGTGTAATATTATTAAATACATATGCGTATATGATATGCAACACTATACTAGTAATTTACCCAGTGGTATACAAAGTATCTCAAATTGGCTCCACATTGAGGAAGCACAAGATTAAAATGCTCTTATATGTGATATAATAGCGTCTACTGTGCAAGAAGCCATTCTGCATGGTGATAAGATATAACTTTAAGTATATTTGCTCATAATACTTCTGTACTCTTACTTAGGGAGTATTTTGCGACGATTTCTACTTTTACTTGAGTAACGGACCAGAGTACTTCTTCCACCACTGTTTAAATCTGAGTTTGAAAGCAGAAGTCATTGCAAATTGCTTTGTATAATCCATTAACTGCTCATTTCAGCACTTTAACTGGCACTGTATGAAAATGCCCCACAGCTTCTACAGATGGAAATACTGGGTGATGCAGTCTCAGCCAGCCGCAAAAAGCTTTCCAGTGCTTCAGAACAGAAGAGAACAGAAGATTGAACGCTTTAGGCCACTCATGAGATAAGCTCTTATTCCGAGCTGTGTGTGTGTGTGTGTGTGAGCGTGAGCGTGAACGTGCAGGTGAATGTCCAGGGCCATGTGAATGCTTGTACAATACATACCTGTAAGTACATGTGTGTATCTTAATACTACATGTAAGTATATTGATGTCTAAAGGGCCATGAGTGCTCTCTAGTGGTCATTAGAGAAACTGCAACACAGGTCAGGGTGGCGGCCATTTTAGTCTCTGCAGACAGAACACCACACCACACCACAGGCACAGCTTTTATCTTTAGAGCTTTGGGGTGGGTCACATCTTTTTCCATCACACATGCACTGTTGGAGCGCAGAACAAAGCGTGTGCAAGGCGTCGGTCACAGCTCCAGGGATGAGAGGTAGGCAGAAGTGCATCTTTTTCCTTATCTCAGCTACACCACGAGTATTTTTCGCAAGACACCTGTAGTTAAAAACAACATGCAGCAGACTCTGAAGGCTGGGTTCATGAATTCTACCTCAAGCTGCACTTCTTACTGGCATACAGTGTGTCTCTGCTGCTGAGGTAACAAAGCAAAAGAGGTTTGTGAGATGTTCCACCTCAGCATATAAAGTGTTTGATCAGCCAAACGTTGGAAAGCTCCCCAGTATAATTAGTGGGTGCACTGAAATTTTTTACAATATTTTTATGGTTCCCAGGACAGATGATTTTTGTTGGTAAGTTCTGGTCATGTGGGAGATCCCTGTAATGATTCAGCACTCTAAGAAGACATAGTTCATTAATCCTGAGCTACTGCCGCCCCTTATAAGGTTTAACAGTGAGACTACAGTGCACAAAACTCCCTCCAGAATTCCACTGATTGTTCCTTCAAACTACAGACATCATCCCTGAGAGGACAGTAAATAAATTTCTACTTACTGTACAGTTTTCCCACCAAAACACACTTCAGATCACATATGAACCAAGTTTCGACAGAATATTGTATTTGTTGCTTTTGCACGGCATGGTAAGTGCAGGCTTGGGGAGTAAAGGATTGCATTAACTGAGTTACGTAATCAGGATGCAAAATAAGGTAGCTGTAATCCATTACAGTTACAGACAAAAATACATTTAGCAAAAATGGGGATTATTTAGCATTAAAATTCAACAGTTTGTGTAAAAATACACATTTTCGATCCTAAAACTTTTCTCTTCTGTTGTCTTATAGAATACACTTGCATCAATGCTTCTTTTTGATAATAATTTTCTCCTCTTCTTATTTGGTGTTAAGGTAATCCAAAAGTAACACAAACAGGTAATTAGTAATTGTATAAGATTACATTTTTAACCCTCTCTCCCAACCCCAAGTGGTGAGAATGTGTTCTTCATAATATAGCAGCACTTATTAAAAAAAGAGAATATTAACATTTAAGCACTGTGGATGGATTGCACATCGTGTGTTGCTGTAGTAATATTAACGTGATTTTTTTTCAGTAAGGCAGCCTCAGAACATCACAAATTAGTTTACTGCAAGTCATTCAGATGATGTTTGTGTGTAATGAGTCACACAGAGAAAGACACTACACAATTAAAGGGTTCATTTCAACTTTATGCATCCATGAATGATAAAGAGGTTCATGAAGTTGACCTATGAGCCCTTTATTGTAGTTTAGCTTTCAGAATCCCTCGTCAAGATGCTGTGACATGGATTCGTCAGGCTATCAAGTGTTAATTTAGTCAATTTGGCATATAGATTTGGTTTTCCTTTGCTTAGAGTCAGCGATGTAGTCAGTAAATGAAATGCAGTTTATTGAAGTGACCCAAAGTTGAGCTACTGATGCTAAATCCCACTCCGGCGTTGTTTCTCCACCCTCTCAATATGTAAGTATGATGATATCCTCCATCAGCTTCCATCCCAGTGCCAACATGCTTAAACACCGGGTAGAAAGGAGTTGTTGCTCAGTAGTTTGTGTTCCACTACCTAAGAGTTCCAGTTTTTGGCAGAAATGGTCTCCAGTCCACTCCAGTGAATGTATGTCCAGTCCAGACCAGTTCAGTCCCAGAGAAAAATAGATCAGAAGGAGAAAAGAGTACAGAGCTTGTGCATCCCTTTGGTATTACATGCTTTACTAGCATCATACTCTGTCAAGTTTCATGACGGCTTAAATATTAAAGGAACATTTGCCTCACAGCACAAAATGACCGTAATCAATCTGTGCTCACACCTCCACTTAAAAACATAACTGATTCATTTATTAAGATTTTTGAGGAGTCTCTGCACTAATTATTAACTAAATTTTCAACAATTTGGTTGCAATTCCAAGTGTTTACCACTAGTTGGTGATAAAGGTAATACCGTACAGTACAATTAAACCAATCTCATTCATCTTTTATAAAGATTTACATACCATATTTGGTACTTTTCCTCACTGTCATTTTTGTAGCAATGTATGTAATGTATTTCCAATGCTTTTTTTCATTACTGTCATTCCAATGCAAAATTCAAATACACATGCACAGGAAGAACTAATGGTGGCCCTGCGTTTCTCACAGAGCAGGTGAGATACAGCAGACAGTAGCTGTGGACTATCCCTTGTGATTATGTTTGAAGTCAACAAGTCACAGTCTCGCACTAAGCTGTTTATTTTTGGCTCTGCCTTTCCAATTCTCCACAAAGTCTTTACAAAGCCACTGTGAGCTGGTTCCTCAGCTCAGCTGTCAAATACTGCTCATAAGCTCGCCCCTTCCTTGCAAATACCTGTTCTACTATGTATCGGTGTCAAATGGCTTCTTGGCTTCCTCCTGCGTGCTCAGCGATCCCTTTCCTGTGGCAATCTGCTGTAGCAGCCAGCCACCAATCTTCATTTGGCCATGTCGGAGCTCTTCTCTGCATCCTGTGAAATCCCTCCAACTGGCTACCACCTCTGGGCCGTTTCAAGCCCCATTTCTGCCCTCTTGATATTCCTCACTGGCATATTTTACTGTCAAATTTTATTTTGTTCAACATTTTGCCCTATGTGTCCTGTACTCATCCTTTTCAACAAGCATTATGTCCTATTGTTTTTTTTTGTCCTTCTCCCTTTTCCTTCCCTTAGTAATTACTGAATCTTACTGATCTTACTTAAGTTTTCCTCATTCTTTGCAGCTTGGTAGCATGTTCTGAGTCGGAAACATCGATTTCTGAAGTATAGTTGACCTTGACACTTCTTTTGCCATCCATGTGTCCTTGAATTTACCATAAATATAAGCTGCCAACATAGAAACATTTATTTTGTCAGCATCCTAGCAGGAATTACAAATTCTACACTGTATAAATTATGCCTCACAAATTAAGCATGTGAACTCAGGTAGAAACAAGGCAACAAATTCAGCAATATCATCAATCTCAGCAAACAAAAATTTGCTGTTATATTGACATTTAAAGTTGACGTTTAAAGAAACAACTTATATGTGGAAGCAATAGCACTCTGTATTATAACATCCAGCTCTTTGAAGTTGTAGCAAGTCATGTCCTGCTTTCTCAAATAATGTGAACATACAGTACTCCCCTTTCCCCTTATCTCCTCCTTATCATGAGTAACTGTCTTTGCCTCTCCTCCTCCCGCCTCCTCTCTACTCTCTTCATCTTGTAGTTCCAATTGGGGATCTCGAGCTGGTTGTGGTTACTGCTCTTTTTGTGTTTTTCCGGTATAAAGGTCGGGGGTGGGGCTTTGCAGAGCCTCACTTTGGGCACCACAATGCCTGACCGCACGCTGCTTCTCCTCAGCATGTTCAGAGGCAGGAGACTTGCTCGTCTCATGGCCACCGTGGACGCCATGGCCACTTTGCTCAGCAGCTGAGGCTGGAGGCTGGCCCTCCGATCCGTCGTCTTGGGGATGAGAAGGACCCGCGAGTTCTGGAAAAATAACTTGTAGTTGTTCAGTCTGTCCGGGCCCAGGCGCTTCAGCTCAGCCACCCGTTGCCTCCTCAGGATCTCCTGCACGGCTTGACGGCGCTTCCCGATGCACGGCGGGCTGCCCGGACTCACGGTGCGGCAAGCTATGGCAATGAATGGACTGGAAATACTGGTGGTGACACGGATCATGTGGTCAAGAACGCCGTCATCCATGGGGTTTATCTTGTTGTTGATGTAAAACCTATAAGGGCAGCAGGAGAGGACGTTGAGCAAACGCCTCCAGCAGGACTGGGGCTCTTGGGCCTGGGCCACCAGCTCCTGCAGAACAAGATCAAATGTTATAGTTTCCAGGAATCAACCTAAAAAAGAACATATTTTTACTCCTTGTATTGAATTTCTCGCAGGGCGATAAAAGGCATTGTGTGGTGTATTTAATAGTAGAACTGTAGTCATGATGAATTTTTTAAACCTCCAGCATGGGCCACTCCAGGGAGAAGGAGTCACAGAACTGCTCTGCACAGGGCTTTGCCATCAGCCGATACATCAGGTTGGCCGTCTCGTATCGACCAGTGAAGAGAGCCCACTCCCTGGGTGTCATTTTTCGTCCGTAGTCCCGTGCCTGAATATCACTTCCTGGAAACAGGAGTTTATGGAAGTGGTCGAAGTGAGAATCTGTGCCTACATCTGTACTGTAATCTGCTCTACATTTGTACATTCATTCATACAGCAAAGGAGATTTGTACCCTGATACAGACATCTAATACACATAGCTTTCAGTCGCTTGCAAGAAGATAATTAAAATTTCTGTGTTTTACCAGCCAGCATGAGAGTTCTGACACACTCAGCCCGGCCCTGCATTGCAGCCTTCATCAAAGCTGTGAAACCGTGACAGTTCCTCCTCTCGATGTCCAGCCCAGGGAAGTAGTTGAGTAGGTAGTTAGAGATTGTCATATGACCTGCAGACCAGAGAGAAACACAGACATTATATAGCTGACATATTGTCTTTGCTGTTCTATATTTCAACGACTCTCAGGTCAGACTCGAACCCATGGTCACCACAGCAAGGAACCAGCCCTAGGACATGAGCCACCAGTGCACCCATACTCATCACTTTTCTACGTTCTCTCTCACTTCTATCATATATCTCTAGGAAAACATTGTAGGTGGCATTCTAACCCAGCTCCTCCTTTTATGTTGTATCTGACTAATCAATGGTATTTTTGTTGCCATTGATGCTTGCTCTGTTCTGTACCCTGGGGGGTCTTTGCTGCTGCTCTCCTTGTCTTAAGCTTTCCACATAGGCACGTGGAAGGGCAACAAGGTCCCAGAACAGAGCCATACCCCCAAATATAACATTCTACATTTGGAAATAAAGTTTTCTTTTGACAGAGGTGGCCCTGGCTGAACTGCTAATTCATGCCCACTTTTCACGTCAATTAGTAAGTCATGCTCACTAATCAGTATCCACTTGTTGGTTACTCCAGTCAGTCAAGGAGGAGCACCAAGTCTGTGTGTTGGCATACTTAGAGATAATTGGGCTAATTCCTTCATATTAATATTGTTATTGCATTTATTACACTTGCTCCCTGAAGACTCATTTATGTTTTATACAATTGTGATGCTACATCGGATATTGTTACAAAAATACTGTCTCTCGTTTGCTAACTTTATTCTGGGATACTGTAAAAACACAAACGGTGCAACAGGACAGAGGACCAACGCCCTCTGTAGATATAAAGGGCTCATTCTAAGGTAACGAAAACACAATTCTTATTTTTATTTTTAGGTGATCCCTTTAAAATGTTTCAATAAAAACAATATCTCTTAATATTTTGGTCTGTTAATCACACATTTGCGATCTATTTCAAGCTTACATTTTGTCAGCCACTTACAGTTGCTGATGGGATTTTAAATCAAACTGCAGCTTTCTTCCGTTCAGCACAGCTTGTTAAATGTTCACAACCTGAGTTCCTAACTGAGTAAATCCAGTCTAAATCCAGACTAATGAAAGAGTCTGATCTACTGAAATTCCTTAATATGAGCACAATGCAGGATTATCATGGAACAGGAATCTGTTAAGGAGTTACAGCATGGTTGAATGGAAGGGTGAGGAGGATGGGGAATAATGGGAGTTCATTCCCAGCACATGTCTAGACACTTTCCACCTGTAGTGAAGGGTTTAGGTAAAGTATTCGACCACTGTGCTGCTGTCATGCACCTGTTCCCCTGAGGTGTTGCAGAATACTTTGTCATGAAAGGAGATCGATACCTCTTTTAATGAAGCAGAAAATGAAGAATAGTCTGCAGCTATTCATCACAGGCCACAGGGAGCCATTCATCATCGTTAACAGATGAGAGGCTGAGGCGCCATGTCTGATACATGTGGCTGCATCACTGAAATTACTTACCATGGTACTTTCTAATGCCAGCAAATAACAGTGATTCTAGCAAATGGAAGCACCAGACCTCATAATATGCTCTGTGCTTTAATTTGGGCCAATTCTGAAACTCAATTCTCTGCAATAAAATGTCGACCACTGTAAATGATGCATTAAAAGTAGTGGGGGGGTGGGGGTGAGAAACATAACAATATCTACGGTACACAATGTGTCTCACTAGAAGACAGGTTCAATATTAGCTATACAGTAAAATGGGTTTATAAATAAACAAATTGATCATTCAACAAAAGCTTTCAGAGGATCAAACAGGTTGTAAAGAAGCCAATATTTTAGACACATTTCTGTGGAAGAGAGAAAAAGAAAGGGAATAATAAAGGTATTACCCTAATTGTTAATTGTCAGCCATAGATATAAAATAAGATAATAACTAGATACCAAATGCCAAGATGGCACATATTCAGTCCAATGAGAATTGCTCGCCTGGCGCATACGCCAAAAGGTTTTATAGCTTCCAGGTTTACTTCCTGGTTATGTGGACTAGAGAAGTGTTTCTCCCACTTCTACCACCCGCAACTTTCCATTGGGATGACATCACAGAAGAATAAATCCCTTTTCTCAGCCTCAAGAGTGTTTTACAAATATTAATAGGTCCATGGGTCAAAAAGGAATAATAAAAAAGGGCCATAATTGACATTTAAAGTTGCCCTGTCAACAGTTTTACACGTTTCTTATGTAATGGTGGGAGATGAATCACAATGGAGTCACAACGTTTTTGGGCCGCAGGGGAATTTTTTGCTGCAATACCACGAATGGACACTAGATAAAATTGACAGCAAGGCAGAGTGGCTCCACTGTATCTAGTTCTTTTATATATCTATGTATATCTATGTCGTCAACATCCAGCCCTTAGTTCCTGATTCAGCTTTGGCCTGTACTTGTGCACATTAATAAGTGGTAGCTAATCTGGCTAAACTGCCAGCTAGTTTACAACCTGTAATCTGACAGTTTGTTGCCTCGTTGGACCTAGTTTTAGGATTATTGCCTAGTTCAGCAATTGATCTCAGCTATTATTTTGGTGAGTACAATGTTAGTACTGATGGCCGGAGATATGAAAAAAACACAAACAATAAAGCTTGAAGTTGTCATAAACAACTACACAAACAACAAAATGTTGTTTATGTCATTGTTACATATTTACTGATTACTAAAGAAACTAGAAGCATTTCTTGTCATGACAACACTTTGTCTTATTATTTCACAACATGGACGTATCTTTGTATAACTACATACGTATCTTATTCTAACAAGAAACTTGTTGCAACATGATTGTTTGTTGCCTAGAGACACTAGCCTAGAGTAGTGATTCCCAACCTGGGGGTCAGGACCTCTACTAGTGGTCGCCAAAGCTTTACGGGGGTTGCAAGGCCTTCTTGATTTTAAGGGGTGTAAGAAAACTTCTAAACATACAAGTTGTATTCACAGAGCCTTCACTCTCTGCTAAACAGCCTTGTACTGAATTAGACAAGTTAATACAACCAAAGAGCTGATAGAACAATGGCCAAGCATCAGGAGAATAAAATACTGAATTAGTCCAAAAGCCTATTAAGTATCATTGGTAAAAATGAAATAAACATAACACAGACAATATCAGGAAAAATTCCTCTCTGACGTAATACTCACAGGAAAAGTCACAAATTTTACACAAACTTTGTTATTTTGTTAAGTACTTGGGTTCATTGTACAATATTCTGTAGTTATTGTTATGCATTGAATATAATATGAAATATCCATAAAATATGTCACTTTTTTGATTAATCGGGTAACTTAATTGAGAGCAAAATCTTAGTCAGGTACAGTCTGTACAAGCCCACACAGTCAAGACAAGAGTCAATGATTTTAATCAGTCAAAATACACTACCTGTGTGGATGTTTTTTTTAAGAAATACTAGCACTAACAACGCCCCTGCTATTAGTTACAGACTCACCATGATTGTTTCATTTGTTTACAATAATCACACCAATAGATGTTTAAAAATTCAAACTATATAGGAGTTAAAAAATCCAGAGGTGTGTTTACCTGCTTGTGCTGCAGTAATAAGAGCAGTGTTTCCCTCGTTGTCCTGCCAGTTAACATCGAGGTACGGGCACTGAGAGAGGGCGATGACCACGTCCACGTATCCATGGTAGCAGGCCATAATCAGCCCAGACTGAAACACAAAAACAAGAGTGCTTGAGTTTCCTCTTTTCTCCTCGTATGAGATTGATTTTGACTTTTAAAAACACCAAAATGGTTTCTTGGGGCTACGGTGAAGCTTTATTTATGGGTTCATAGCTGTATTTCCTCAGAGGAGAAAATCATTGCAGTAATTCTGATGAAAACAAATAACGCTTATCAGTCATGCTGCCAACAGGCCAAATAAAAAGATGTTTTTCAAAGTGCGTAACAGACTGATAGGGAGTCTGTAATAGCCTGTTAATTCAGGCTAAACATGGGTTTCCAACTGGAGTGGTCAGTTGCCAAGCATCTAATTGCCCAAATTGCTATTGGCTGGTTTGCTCTTATTTAAAAGGAAAGTAATAGCTGTTAAATCAGAGTTAGTGTTTGGATTGGGGGTAAATTATTATTTTTTTCTTAAATATTTTACCAAAAAACACATTAACAAAGAGGACAGGGGTTGCATTATCCAGCTTTTGAGACAGTTAATAAGTCTTACGCTAACTGATAAAAACAATCCACCAATTCCACCAATCGGCATGCTGAGTTTAACCAGCTGGCGGTGTGACAGAATGTGACATCAAACCAGCACACTGCAGTTTAAGTATTATGTAGTATTAAGTACAGATTTTAATTATACTTATCAGTAGTACTTAGTGATTGTTTTGTGCAATGTTGGAGTTTAGTGATGGCTGAATCCATTCCTGTTGCATTAGTAGTTGTTTCATATGTTTCTTTAATGTATCGGATCATTGGCAGTGCATCGAGACGCCTATCACATCTGCCTCAGTGATGGAGATGCACCTTTGTCCTCAGACATCCCCGACTGCCTGAAAACCTGAGGACTCAATTCAGACCAAACTGGATCTTGGGGTGCACACCTTCTAGTCCACCTTGGTTTAAAATTGGAAGTAAAATTTGGTGTTTTAGTCATAATGACAACAGTTTGTCTCCAACTTAATTGCTGAGATCTGGTCTCACTCCTAAAAGTCCAGGAAGGCAAATAACAACAGTGGTCAGACAAGCACACAGTTTATAGGCAAACCACCACTTTAAGTGGAATCTAAACGACTGATACTTAAAGTGAGCGCTCCTGTAGCATCCATCTATTTCAAAGAACAGCACAATGGGTAAAAATGTAATTGTAATGTAACCTCTGTAATCTCAAATATCTTTAAAACAGAGTATATGTAAGGATTTTCCATTCCACCCCTGTTCTCCAAAGAGATAAACAATCTTAAAAATATTTTTAAAATAATCATATAAAGTAAGTAATTTAAAGTAAACCACAGTCCTGCAGAAAGGTCTCTATGGTCTGCTTTGTGTCAGTAACAAAATTCAAACTTGGCCTATAGGGTCTGAGGTCCCAGTAAAAATGTTTCTGTCTGCAGTTTTGATACAAAAAGTTTTACGATTCACACAAATGTAGCTTCATTTTGTTGTAGTTCCCACTGTAATCTTCCCAAATTAGGTATTAAATTATGCCTCGCCCCTACCCACATGTGGAAAGCGCCTCAAAAGGTACAGCTGTTCAATTCAATCTTTATGGGATACGACAAGAACTTGATTTAAACGTAGATCAAGAGGTTGGGATTCTGAGAAAATGGCGATGTCATGAATTCAAGGAAATTACTAAAAAAGCATTGTCTTTAGAGTGACAAATGTGTATTAATAACTGACCAAAATAACTTGACATTTACTACATATGTAAGTTGCATGTGATGGTACGAATCAAGTGAACTTGATTGAAAAAACACAGACCGTATTGCAACGTCCTGTGAATGCAACTGACAAAGAGGAAGTCAAACCACTGGTGAGGGTACAGAAAGACGGAATTTCTTACAGCCAGGGGAGTTGAAGAGGGTGGAAATCGTGAATGTTATGCAGTCGTATAGCCAGTAAGGTCAGTGCTGCACAGTCAGGAATCCAGCCTGATTCTAATGCAACAAATATTAAAGATGACATCCAGTATACAAATCCTTTGTGTTAAGGTTTTTTGCTGGGTAACAATACAGACAATGAGTTGATTGATTCAACTCATTTCCATGGCAGTATATGCTGTGTCACAGTGCTCTAGGACAATCCTTCTCTGTTTGTTCAGCTCTACAAGCATAGGCCTATTACCTAGTGCTTGGGTCAATGTCTTAGCAAGCCCTTTAAAAGCTGAGCCCTGATGGCAAGCTGCTACTTCACACCCACCCCCCCATCTGTCACCGGAGGCTTAACCAACTTCTCTGAACCCTCCTTCACGATTTGACCTTCAGTGGCTGACCCCAAAACCTGATGTGACTGTCAGTGAGAAAAAGTTCACTCTGGGTCACCATGCTTTTTTTTTTGTACCTTTGTGTTACATACAACTACACGGTTTAGTAATTGGACTGAAATGATCAATTAAAGAATAAACGTTGACACTTTTTAAAGAAATTCTACATTTTAGACTTTGTGTTTTGTGAACCCTAATAAAATCTGAGCAGTGGGAGTTCTGATTAATACTTGTAAACTGTGGACTTAACAGCTTAAAATGGTTAAAATGGTACTGAGTGGACAAACACCCTTGAAGGTATATGTACTTACAAAACATCATGTATGGTGGGCAGCAGCAACATATATACCATACCAAGGTATAATATCATTATGATTTTAAATCATATGATTTAAAGGTATAACAGCTCACTGCTGACAGCGTTGTATCACTGATGCTGCACATCAAATCAGTTACACATGGAACTCAATGGAAAATGGGACACTGATACAAAATATATAATCATCAGTACCTAACATTACTGCTGGCTATTTTTCAAACCACAATGTGGTGTCTCATTATTTTGAATGTATTTTGTTGGTTCAAATTGATATGAAGTTGATAAAAAAAATTTTTCGATCAAATGCTCCTGCCAATAAGACTTTCTGGTGCACCAGAACTTTGTACTTATTGTGTATTTCCTACCTTTGAATCAGCCATTCTTCTGCATTTATTTCCACACAGTATGAAAATCAGCTGGCTGACTCAAATGTTACTTGAAATTTATCATAGTAAACGTTAAGTGTGCCAAACTCTGGTTAAAGTTATTATTCAAGTAACACAGAGCAGACTATTAAAATCAGTATGGACTTGATCTAGATCACCATGCAGTGGTATTAATGGAAACCAATGGCTGCATGTAAAGTAGTAAAATACACCCAAAAAGCTGAAACTTAAAACTGAATTCATTGTTGAATGGTCAGAAGTCAACTAAAGTACGCGATCTGCAGAGCTAAAACTTACATAAACTTGGTACATTGGTACAGTTCTTTAAGAGTGATGCTCATGGAACATTCTGTATCACCAGTCATAGGTTTAGCAAAATTAGTTTTCCAATGGAAAAACATTGGGATTCTTTTGGTTTCCATCAGTAAAGTTGGAAACAAAATGTAGACTTTGCTGGTTGCAGGTAAGCAGTGAAAACAAAGCCATCAGTGCCTGAGAATCAAACTTTTCCTTAAAATGCGTTGAACCCAGACACCTACTCTTCTGTTCCTATCTGTCTCTTTCACTTCCTCTTCGGTCACTCCTTGTCTGATCATAATCTTGACGATGATGGCGTTGTTGTTGCAGCAGGCCTTAAAGAAAGAAATTGGCTCGGGGGTGTCAGGGCTTGGTGAGCGGTACATATAGGGTATAACTGAATTGTCAGGGGGATAGAAAGAATCGTCTGAGACAATGCTCCGTGTGTCCAAGTTATCCGACAATGCCTCAAAGTCCAACTCCTCGAACTCCTGGTAGATATCATCCTCATCCTCCCAATAATTTTGTGTGTAATCAACTTCATTTCCCTCGTTATTGTCCCCTCCTGACACCTCAGACTCATCCCCATTATCGTCAACATTGATAATGGACATGGTAGGTGTATCCATGTCGACTTTATAGGTCCTAAACTCAGTCTCACCCGGTCCCACACCTTTGGCAAATCCATTCTCTCGAACTTTTGAACCTTCACCTTGTTCCCCTGTTATTAACACCATTTAAACCTTCCCCTTCCCCCACGCACTTTTGAAAATTTTTGTGGACTGCCAGGACAACTAGGAAGACCTAGAGTTCATGTCCACCATCCTACTGCAATACATTGTCTCATTCTTGTATTTGTTTCCGTCAAATGTCAGGTTTCCTAAGAGGTAAGGGTCACCAGAAGTCACAGGGGAGGGATGAGATCTTTACACATGCTCCCAATCCCTCGGCGAATAAATCTTCTTAGAATGCCATAGAAGTTAGGATTCTCTAGTCCAACTCCAAAAGAAAATTTCATTAAGAAAGGTTTGATCATAAGCATGATCTGCGGTAGTCACTCTTGACTGAAGTGACCAAGGGTCAATAAAAACTGAACTGTTTTCTTCTTGAGAGAGTCAGCGTTGCATTTCCAAATAAATGCAGTTTGATAAACCCAAGAGTATCCATGAGTTTCGAATTGTGGCAAAGCAAACGGCCTTTTCCATGTGACTCTTCACAAAGGCGCCAAAAGCATCACCCTTCACATCTTTTAATCATGGCATCAGATCCCAAACGGACTGCTTGAATTCCTGAATTCTTGATGAGAAGTTAAAGCTGAAGTTGTCCTCTGGAAAGTAGAAGAACAGGCAATCGTCTTGTTTGAAAACTGTAACAGTCACCGCTAACAGCACTGTGCAACTAATCCCGTGTTTCCCTGTGGAGAAACATTGGGCTTCCTTTGATGATGGCCAGCAATGGGAGGAGACATTCTCTTGAATTGACGCATGATAATCCCTTTAGTCGCTCTCCCTCTCCCTCTCTTTAGCTCTAGCTGTTCTGTCGCGTTCCCCTCCCCAGTGAGAAGAGTTTGAATGTTTTCTTTTGGAATATAATAAAGTGTAAAGCTGAATGGTACAAGCACAGAGGGAATGTCTTAACTTTTTAAAGTCTTCTCTTGTAATATCTGTAGACGTTTTACAGGGACAACAGAAGAAAATAAGCAATTGAACCAGTGGGTTCTTCTCACAAGACTTTAAATACACTTAATAATGAAGAACATGTAAAAATCAATGCAACAAATGTGAGACAGACCAAAAGATCCATGCCGATAGTCACATGAACATTAATTTATTAGCTTTGTTCTGACAGAGATATCCTTATTAGAGAATTAAAGTCATTAGTGCAACTGGGCAAGTCAATCCTGCCCCCTCTGGTTTCATCTTCTGATGCACTTAACATTGCCATCTTAAATGGGATTTCTCAACCATGTGTGTGTACAGGGTACAGTGGAAGGACTGGGATCAATGTCCCTAATGTCAACCTTCATCAGTGTAGGGCATTTTGAGTCTGGTGAGAGTGAACCAAAACAGTTAAGTCACGGGCCATAATACAAAACACTGTCATTATCATCTTTGGCGAAGATTATCTCAGCTCTGTGGAGCATTAGCTTCTTTCGGGTCATTGTTTGATTTCCCCACCAGCAACTTTTTTGTTTTGGTTTACTGTCACTGCTCTTATAGGGCCAATAGTTTCAATAGTTTCCAGCTCAAAAAATCTACTATACTATATACTATATTATACTTCCCAGCACCAAACAGCAGGCAGACAAAGCTAGCGACTAGCTAGTAAGCGTAATCAAGAGTCAGATATTTTCCTCAGGAGTTAGGAGTAGGAATATTGAACTTCCTTGACAAATGACTCTAAATAAATACTAATGTTGCTTCGTGTCTTCTGAATGTGTAAATAGATAAATGTGTAACTTAGATAAATCAGCTTTAAAGGTTATAATGTGTCAATGTGTTCCCAACTTGTTTTTCTGCTGCGACGTAAGAGGCCAAAATAACAAATTCAAATCCAATTAGAGCAACCTGGTTATTTAACCTGACTTGAATTTTTAGATCAGAGTTTGACTGAAAGGTCCAGTGTGTAACATTTAGGAGGATCTTTTGGCAGAAGTGGAATATAATATTCATAGGTAGAGAATGAGAACCGCCATGTGTCTACAGTTGCCCAGAGGGACAAACCAAACACTGGCTGTAGATAGGGCCGTTTTGAGGCGACTCCAGTTTTGCCCTCACAGTTGGAGAGGGAGGGTGAAACAAGTGAGTTGCAATCAAGTTTTTGCATTATCACCTCTTGAACTGGAAATATCAGTGAGAAATTCAAACCACATACACTTGGATAGATGGTTTTCAAAGTAAAATATTCAGTTCTGTTAATTCGGTGGTATTAAAATTTCAACATCAGTAGTGTTTTAGTTTCACAATCATTCAGTTGATAACATTTAAATTATTAAGGTTAATATTGGCTTCCATATACGCCAAGTTTGCATTGATATAGAATATCATTTACTGTGGTAGTTCTTTCCAGTGACCAGGCTGGCTTGTAAATCAGTCTAGCTCATGCGGTCATGAACTGAGCAAGTGACCTGAGTGTCTGTTGCCCAGACAGTCTTTGGCACAGAAACACTAATCTCTGGTGGTTCAATTCTGCCTTTCCTGAACCACATTACACCATAGGATAATTGCAAGTTCTCACTGAACAAAGTCTGAAATTTCTGGTGCATTAAGTAGAGAAAATGCAATATAGATTTTACAATTTTATTTCCTGAAGTCTGGTTTTACAATAAAGGAAGAAGAAAAAGAAATCAAACTCTTCATGACACAGCACTAATCTCTTCAGAGCTCCTTAAGGAGGGACAAATCACAGGCTCTTAGCCCATGATTTGATCGCCATGAAAAGGTTGATCTCATTATGCTTGTGAAAAATGAAGCGCAGGTTGGAAAAATCTGATTTAGCTTGACATTAGAAATGCTGCTTCAACTGCATGCGCTCCTAATCTCTGCTTGGCTTCCAAAACTGTTAAGACATTGCATTAGCAGAGAGGTAATTGGATTCGGCAGAAATAACCTCACATCCGGTCTCCAAGAGATGCGATTTCCAGAACTGGGCTGTTACCAACGGCTGATGTTGAATTATGATGAAAAAAAAAAAATTATATTGATATTCAACGATGGTCACATACTTAATATAGTCCAATAAATATATGGAAGTGAACAGTTGCTTATCAGATCTACAAAGAAATTAAAACTAGAAGCTGGATGTGAAAAGCAGTAGGAGAGAGAGTGAGGGTCCACACTGAATCTGTGCATCCTGGAGTGGAAGGAAAACAAATGAAGCCTAAAAATACAGGTCACTAATGCGTGGGTAAGACTTGAGCTCTTACACTGACTGGTCATTAGTAGTTCCACTGCCACTCAGCCCTTACTATTATTAAACAGCAGACGTGGCACAGAGGCCTCTTGGAGAGCAGAGGGAAAGCCTGCCGTTGTAAACTTTTAGCTTTAACTTCAATGGGCTGACCGGCAGTTGTAGGCTTAGTGCTATCAGAAATACCTGCAGACAGTGGTGCCAGCAGGATAAGTGCAGACCCATTTCAATGAGGTGATTGTGTCTTCTGCAGCTAATTGCAATAGGTCAGCACTTGGTAGTAAGCTGCATCAGCCTCTGATTTAGAGGACTTTAGGAGTTTGTTTCAGTGATGTTTAAGTTTACTTTATGTTTTGTTCTATGTTTAATCACGGGACACCACTCACAACAGGTTTGTGCAGTTCATTTTGTCATAGATGCCGGTGTTACAATTGACCTGTTAACCAAAGTTTAAAATAATTTGTGTACCTGCCTCGTGATTCTGATCCGCTCCAAACGTAGCATGTAGCCCATGCTACACCCTTCCACCAAGTTTCATGAAAATCAGGCAGGTAGTTTTTCCATAATGCTGACAGAGACAAATAAACAAATAAACAGCACCAAAAACATAACCTCCATGGCAGAAGTAACTAGGTAAAGGAACCTATACACACATAAGCCTGCCTATACAGACCTATGAGATTATTAGAAAAACTGAAACTGAAAAGCAGTTTCATCAGTATTTTCCAGAGATGCTCATGAGCTTTCCCCTGGCACATTTACACTGATGTATAAACTAAAATGTTATTAATGTGGTTGTGCCTGGTTAATAAACAAATAGATAACCTGTTTTACATACATAACTGCCACCGAACCATTGCAACAACTGCATAACTGCAGTGCATTGTGGGTGATACACACCTCTGGAGTTATTCCCTCCCTCAGCTGTGTGTTTCTTTCAGCAGCGTACAAGAGCACATTCATTTGACATTCATCTTCAGAGGCCTGTGGGGGGATAATTATCTATCCACTCTCAAGGAGGAAATAATTAAACATTAGAAAAAAATCAAACATTAGAATGAAAAAATAGAAGACAAAAAAAGACATGATTTAGTGTTAAAGGATAGTTTTTTCCCTTTTCTTATCATGTTAATCATCTCGCCACTCCTTAAATTTATCTTGCAATCCCCATATGGGCATAACAACAGCGGGATCCACAGCTCTGAGCCAAACAGACATGAGTAACATCAGGGACATCTGAAGAAATGAAGAAACTGCACACACTGAGAAATCATTACAACTATTTATTATTGTTTCATCTTACTGAACCAACAATTAATAGACCTTAAAGTATACAACCTTATGTTACAGTACATGCCACTGCCTTTTTTGCACATATAAAAATAGAAATCATTTGCTTCTAGAAATTGAAATTCAAGACCAAAATCTGAAGTGTCCAGCTCAGTTCAAGAACACTAAAAGGTCACTTTATAGCATCATACGAATAATGTGAGCATTCCACACAGCAGCACTACAGCTGTCAGCACTAAAGTTAATGTATTTCACAATCCATATCAATAGAAAAGCAGTTTATATTTACCAAACTCCTAATGAAACACTTCTAACACAAATGTAGTGTCAAAAACAGATGCAAAACTTTTGTCCTTTAAGTAGAACCCATTGTGCAGTCGCCACAGTGAAATACTGACATCTTTCAGCCTCAGTGGGAGGGAAATAAAAACCCTGCCATGTTGACTGTGTTACAATGGATTCTGAAATGATTGCAAACTGTGGTATAAAGTGCAACTCATTGAAACATTTGCATGAAAAAAAAAAAAACATAAAAAAATAGAATAAAGAACTTAAAACTTGTCAAACGCCTCTTAAGATTTTAGGAGCAAGAACGCATCAGAGAATTGGATTCAATTTTTATTGGCAGCAAGAAATACGGCTGGTTTCTGTCGCTGACCCTTTAGTTTTAGTCAGATTATTCATGTAATTGTAATAGTTTTGTTCTGTAGTGGGTGTAGGAATATGACGTCTAACTTGCTTTGAAACACGGTTTAGGGCATTTTCTTCATGGGAGTGTAGCAGAGGAGACAATGTGGTCATAATGTGGAGACACTGGGAGTACAACAACTGGACACATCCTCATGCAAACATTGTGATGGAAGTAAACGTGGTTGTAGAAACTGAAATGTATGGAACCTTAAAGCAACAGTTTGTCATTTTGAGGAATACACTTAAATGCTTTCTTGTATACTTCCTAGAGTCTTGAGGTTGCCAGGCAACCGGTGGAGACTCCAGGAAGTCACTGCCTCCAGACAAGAAATAGTTTCAGTATGTAAACCCTTGTGAAACTGACATTGTCACAATTAGTTTTTCTATGTACAAAACAGAGAAGACATAACGTATTAATTAGTGAGCTTAAGACGTGCTGGCAGGTGGATTATGTTGCATTTGGACAGAGCCAGGCTAGCCTGTTTCCCCACGATTCCAGTCTTTATGCTAAGCTAAGCTAACCATCTCCTAGGTCCAGTGTCATATTTAAAGTACAGATATGACTGTAATATTAATCTTCTCAGCCAACTCTTAGCAGGAAGTGAATGACATATAATTTCTTTAAATTGTTCATTTGTGACCATCAGAATATGAAGCTATCGTGTGTGTGTGCTGCAGACATTATTTACCTGTGGCTTCTTGTTTCTATGCATTATCCTGTGGGTGGAATATCTGAGCTCGCACTGTGCCCTTCATTTAGCAGTCAGCTCTCACACTACGAGGGAAGCCACTGAAGACCAGACGCCTCAGACTTAATATTCTTCTGACTACCCGTTCTTGTTTAGGATTGTTGATTTTAAAGCACACATGTAGTGACTGTTGTTGATAAGAGACAAACCTTTAAAGACATGAAGGACCCTCAAACACATCTCCCTGAACTCCAGTGTCACCAGTGTCAGCGTCAACCTTCAGTTAAATCCCAGCCTCAGCTGTGTGAAGAGGTAAAGTAGAGAGGATCTGGTTGAGTCAGCTGCAGCTCACAGAGACCCTGTTTATACTTGGTTTTAAAGTTTCTGTGATTCTAACCACAGGTTTTTTAGCTGACCACTTGTGATCAGATTCCCGTCACCAGACAAGCACCAGGTTTGTTTCGCACGCGCCTGCTAAGAAAACCAAAATGTTTGTTATGTCACCATAACAATCACTGCGTCCTGTATTGATGACTAATAGTTTTCTGGAGATGCATCAGGATGCATTAGCGCTTACACTACAAAAGATATGTGGCAGGTGGTACACAATGTACCTCACATCCCTCCAAAGCCACAGCCAGCTAATTTAGGATCGGTGGTCAACCACAGTTCCTACTGCTGTCCAAGAACTCCATCCTGTATAGAGGAAAGTTGCAACAAAAGCCAAAAACTGACAAACTCACCTATCATTAAACAGACAAGATCAAAGGGAGAGTGACTCAGAATGCAACTAGCAACTCAGCTCCCAGGTGGAGCCACAAGACAATCAGTTTAGGATAGAAGAAAGAAAACTGCGTTGGATCCAGGAGCAGGGTTTTTACAATACCCCTTCACCTCCAGAAAACCCTGCATCTCTTCTACTGGCTGCCCTCCGACTTTACTCTAATGCCCCACACAGCAGTCAAACTTCTGGGATACATTTACCGTCTTTTGACTGCAGAAGCCGTAACTGTAACCCAGAGGTGTTGAGGTAATGAAAGGTAGAAAAAGACTCCTCACACAGCACACCAGAGTGCCTCAAGAAGGGAATTCAATAATATAATCACATCAACGAGCTGACTCGCAGGAGGAGAAGCATCTGGTGGGCAAGGAGAGGTACACAGACAGCCGTGCATCGGCTCCTGCTGCTGTCACACACAAACACAAGCAGATCTGATCGCCGTCAGATACGTGGGGAAACGTTCGGCTGGTTAGGTAGCCTGAGAAGACATGAACTGACACAGGAGAGTGTGTAAAAGATCCACCAGCATAGCCACACAGGGGACAAACCAAACTGCTGTGGAGAAGTTTCAGACATCCAACAATGTGAATGCCTCACCAATATAACCACAGTGGATGGCAACAGTACCGGAGAGCAACAAGAGTCTCCTTAGTGATTTGTGGAGAAATGTCACTGCATTAAACTGCTGCAGGCGAGGACTAGTGTCAGGGTAAAGAGTATCTGTGTACAAATTATTTTACATTTGAAACTATATGCAAGGTCAGCAAACAAGCAGTGTGATGGCAGTCATTTTGTTTTTTAAAGCAAAGATGTTTTTCTCTTGCTCCCTTTCTCTTGCAGACTTGCTTTAAAGGGCACTCGACTAATTTAACAAATAAAGCTCCCAGCTGTATCATGTGTCCTGTGGCTCCTGAGCAGTTACAGAAGATGTCATCAGTCTGCGTTACAAACTGGAAATGTGGAATTTGAAATACTGGGTGTTAACCAGGCATGGGAGGTTTAATGAAAGACGCTATACAGTTGTATTATAGGAAACGTAGGAACCAGTATTTTGGGATCTTTGACCCATGACTCAAACTGAAGACATCTCGGTCTCTGCTGCTTTGACCACGTTTTTAAAAAGACATTCCTGAATCACGTACCCTTTTAATATCTAAGAGCAGCTTGTTTGAAAACAAAAAGTGATAGTAGCTGGTAATGTAAAACCAATCGTTATAAAACAACCGTAGCTCCATCCAATCAAAAGCTGTCAGCTAGTAAACAGGAAGTCACTGTAGCATACCTTTAACAAAACTGGCTTAAATGGGGTAATCTATATTATACTGCCAATCCCTTTGTAACTGTAGGTATGACTGTTTGAATTATCTGCAGACAGGGACAAATGTGCTTTTCAGAGTTAGGAGAACAATTTAGAGTGAGTGGGAAACATCTGATCAATGGTTTGTAATTTGAGATGTATTAAATTATTTTTGTGAGATGTAATCTAAAATCTTCACACGTCACTGGCCCTACATTTAGGAAGGCAACTGTTAACGCTGTCTTTGGTAACTAAACTGATCACAAGATGAGATGTCATGATCTGTGATTCAGCTCAGCAGATGGCAGCGAATGACTGAATGATTCATTTCAGCAACGTTACAATATAGAAAAAGGAACAACTTTTGTAAGTTAGGGGACGTTAAAAAAAATGTGGCAGTTCCAGTTACGTCCACCAATCAGTTTCCTGCATTTTATCTAATAGTTTGAGCTCCATTAAACTACTGGCACTATCTTGCCCTAACTGAGATGAGTTAACTCTAGTTTGCCAGAACTATACTCAAGCCAGTATAGCGAGAGTCACCTTTTTCCCTATGAAAATCAGTGTTTTGTCATTTATACAGTTCTTTTTAGCTGTTGGCTCCTAACCGTTAACAGAATGCTGCCAGGTAAGAGTCTGAACAGCTGATTAGCAGCAGTACAAGACACTCAGGGCCAGCTAGCTCACATTATTTTTTATAAATATTTCTAATATAACACAGGCACATTCTGAAATGTTCTGAGGCTGGTTTTCCAGTTCAATATTCTTAGTTGAAACCTCACTTTTTGTGCTGTGTAACTTCATATTAGTGACCTCTCCTCTCCTGAGGGTGGATTTGCTCAGGAAGGGTAGTACACAACCCAAACTGTCCTGGGCGGGTTGTCCAGATTGTCTAAAATGTCCTTTTCTTTCTATTTCTGCATTTTTACTTCAAAGGAACCCTCAGAGGATTATCTAACAGCTCACTCCAGAACACTAAAAATCAATGAAAATACATCTAATAAAAACATCTAAAAAAAAAAAAAAGAAAAAAAAAAAGGAAAGGATAATCACATTGCTACATCACGTATGTCCCTCTTTATCACTGACAGCCTCAGTTTGATGAACGGTGTCATTTGAGATGAATCAACAACTGGAACAGGACCACAGAGGCGTTCCTGTTACAATATCTCCTCCACAGCTCAGAAATGTCAAAAAAAAAACTCTAATTAAGAGACATTCAGTGTGACCTAGACTACATTTCACAACAAAGATTCAAAGGGAAACACAATCCGAGATAAAATCTACGCTCAACTGACCCCACTTCAACTCAAACCTTTTTTTAAAATAACGTACAACTTAAAAATGTCAGCTGCGTTGAAGACAAAATCGGACACATGAAGCAGGATGGACAGTCGACGACTCATGCCGACTGTGTCTGCGACTCATGCCGACTGTGTCTGCGGGTTGCTGAACAACCTTGTTCAGATATTTAAATTTTCCACGAAGAGTTCTGAGACTAGTGTGTCTTGGCCCTTCAACGTCTTTGTCTCCCAACCTGTGACAGCAGTAGATGTTGGTGAATAAGAGGAACAGACTGCAGTCAGAAGTTCAGAGGCTGTGTTTGAAGTCGGCATTTGACAGCCAAGAAGGAAACTAAAAGGTTTCACCACAGGAGCTGCTGATAGCTCTCAGTGCAGAGTGAGTCAGCTCCACTGATCCCACAGCAGCGTCGGGTCTATGAGGAGGAGCTGTATGATGTGCTCCTGCCCGACTTACGTTCGTAGTTCACCAGTCGCTGTCCAACCAGGTATCTGGAAGAGAAACGGGAAAGATAAGAGTCGTTTACAAATTCGGTTTAACATTGTAATTCACACAACTAAAACACATCTTTGCTGGTGAAGTTCAAAATGGATTTTCAGATATTACTGATTACCTTTGGGTCTTTTATTCTCAGATCTGTTTTACTGTAAGATTTGCTATGCTCTAAATTCTCTTGCACTGAATTTGGTGTTGCCCACATGTAAGTCAACAAAATCCCACAAGACAGTGTGCTCTAAGTCTCTTTGTTGTATAGATCTTCCTTCCTTCTTGTCATAATGAACCTCCCAGTTCAGTCAGGGGTCGTACAGCTTTTTAAAACTGCAGTACTAACCTTTATGAAAATAACGTTTTGTCATATTTGCTGATATTCTCACTGTCCTGACAGTAATACATGAGACAGATAATCTGTGAAAAAATCAGCTTCCTCTTACTTGTTCTAGTGCTCCTAATGGCATTTGCAAGAACCTACCGGGCCTGGACGAAAACAATATGCTATATTCTATAATTGACTGCTATGAAAACAGTTATTGGGATACAAACTTTGCCACATCACACAGCCCTACTGACCACTGACTTAAGTTTTCCTCTTTGCCCCCATGTGTTAGTTCACACTTAAGACTTTGGGGTCTACTGACTTGTCGTTCTTGATGTGTTCGTAGAGGCGTTTGAACTGTCGTATCTGGAAGTACAAGATGGCCAGCAGTATGACCACCATCAGCAGGAAGGGATAGATCCTCCTCTCCACCAGCGTCTGCATCTCCGGCTGCACACCTATGAAGGAAGAGAGGGCAGGCAGCAGGGAGGGAGGCGGAGGTCGAGGTGGGGAAAAGACAGAGAAAACAGAGTGAACGCTGGAACACAATCTCCTCTTAACGAGTGTGCTTGTGTGTGATGTCTTATCTCCGTGAACTGATGGACTTGAGTTGAGGGAACAGAGTAAACAATCAATTGCACTTCGGCTTGCACAATGGCTAAAATCCTGATAACCACAAGGGCTGGGAATACTTAATTGACTAGTTGTTTAAATGCAAGTGTTGTCTGAGTCAAAGCACTTGTCTAAACAAAAATTGGTGCCTTGGGTATTCTTTGCATAAAAAGCACTTCTCAAATGAGCTCTGTGTCCAAAAAAGGATCTGCCTGCGCTGTGGCCTGATGACGTCTGAGCGGGTCTTCTATCTCTGTGCCTGAATTTTATCTGCTACAATTTCTAATTTAGTCACTACTAAATCAATGGAGGACCACATAAAGTTATGCTTCCTTTTAGTTGTGTTTTCTTACTCATTCACTTGTAGGGTTGTCTGTTTTTATTAAAGTTGATTAAGCAAAAATTAAGCAAAATCCTCCTCCATTTATTTTGAAACTGTATGGAAGTTAAAAATGTAAAAGGTACCTTCAATGTTTTTCAATGTGGACCCTTTTTTCCATGTCCATAACATTATAGAATGGATCCCCACAAAGATAGACAGCTGAGCAATTGCTGTGTTCAAAGGCACCAGATTTCATTGACAAAAACTAATTTTACATCATAACACTTTGTTTAAATGGAAGTGAAATCTTTGACCACTCTCACAGAGAGTTGGTGATGGATGAGAAAACTGGAGCTTTGAGAGAGACAAAAAAGAAGACACTACCTTGAAACTTGTTAAAGTATATGACAGTACCAGACAACTCATGTTCAACCCAGACAGGCAAGCATAAACAGTGACTCACCTAGCAGTGGTGTAATGCCTTTAGAGATGGTGTAGGGCACACAGAGAGACAGCAACAGGACGCAGATGACAGGGGCCGCCAGCCCTCGCACAATGAAATGGAGGTCAATGTTTCGGATACCGTTGGCGTACACCTACAGGAGAGAGATAGGGAACATAGTGACAGGTTTGTTTTGACTTTCTTCCTAATACAGGTTCAGTTCTTTTTATCCTTAGTAATGAATTACAAAACAAATTCTTAGAATACGCTTCTATAGACATGTTCAAGGGGATAACTAAATGTATTTTAGGATGATATACAAATATGCACATATATTTTATCACCTTTACAGTACATTGAAATGCAGCTAAAAAGTTGTGAGACTGACCTGCTCAATGACGGTTTTGAGCCACCACTGAGGGCCCATCAGTGTGACGGCAGCAATTATTTTAGCGTGGAGAACACCCAGGGCCCAGTCCTGCCACACACACACACAAACAACCACCATTTTACAACCAAATGAGCTCTGTTTTAGCATCTACTCAGTATGAGTGCCTGTAAAACCTGTTTTTGTGTCTTTGCATAGCACACTGAATACCAGCAGGTATTGTTTGATAGCTAAAACACAGTTTTTTTATACCCCACTTAGAGAAATGTACACAAGTTTTTCTATAAACATTTTGTATTGAATAAAATAAGTTAATAAGTTCTCAAATGTTAAATGTCAACAATCTTCACAAGAAACAATGATTGTCTAAATGTGGATAACATACTAAGTAAACACGATCTGACCTGACATTTAATGTTTGAGTTGAACAGTGAAAACTTTATAGATTCTAAAAAAGGCACTGAGGTCTCCACCCACACACTAAAACAGTCCCTTTTGACTGGTGCAAATAAATAATGCATGATTTCAGATGGATACATTGGATATATTCACACACATACACTCTCCATAGTCCTACCTGCCAGGGGTAGAATAGAGGCGTGTGGTCCAGTGGGACTCTGAGAGGAGCAACGATGACCAGCTCAAACAGCAGACCCAACAGCAGAGGAATCACCCCGGCTAACATCACAGCCACCACAACGGTCTTTATGATCTGTTCTCACCAAGAAATCACATCCACGCCACCAAAATACACATTCAAATCATTTGCAATGTAATACAGAACAGCACTAAATTTGCTATTGGCTGGGAGGACTAGAGAGACGTCCACTTTACCGTAAGTGTCCACTCGTGGACTTTGATCAGGATGATGGACCGTCCCTGTGGCATCCAAGACAGCATCACGGTGGCGGCACGAATGGATAGCCAGCAGACGTACAGACCGCTGGCCGCTGTGTACAGCTCATGAACCATGGCGCTGCCCATCCAGAAAGACATCAGCCAGCGACCCGCACACACTGGGAGAGAGGAAGAGGAGAGCATGAACGAATGGAGGTGTGACTGACAACAGAAAAGAGGAAAGGTAAAATGCCTGCTTGCGGCCACAACTTACCCGGCAGCGTGAGGCAGATCAGACTAGCCAGTAACAGCGTCACACACATAAAGACCACCAGCAGAAGGATCTTAACAACCAAAAAACAACAAAAATCTATTTTCAGCAGCACGGGCTTCAGGATATATATGAAATGAATAATCATAACGCTGTGAGTCACCTTGAGGGGGAAGTTGACGGGCCGGTGGTACGACTGGAACCCCACAGGACCGCCCTGTTGCAGAATGGCCTGGTGGGCAGCGTGAAGCCCTTCCCCAAGGCCAGGGATCCTGTTGTTGTTATGGCGACCGGGAGGGTTGATGTTTGGTTGGTTGTCATAGTCTTCATGGTCCCCCAGCAGGTAGGAGTGAAGGTCACTGTGGGGGAGCAATTGATGAGTAATTGTTACGTCTTATTGTTACAACTGTGAAGGGACATAATGACTCTGGACAAAAAGAACAAACTATAATTTGAGGCTTTCAGGGTTCCCACTCTTTATAAGAATTCATTTTCTAGGAGTTTTTCTTGACAATACAGTACAGCACTTGCTCACAGCCAGTCATAATTTAGCGGTAGTCTGAGTATTGACACATTTAACTCCTTACTTTAATGATGCAGGTTCGCTGTCTCCCCATCAGGCTGACTACAGTTTACTACAGTTTTTACGGTAACACTAATTTGGCAATTTGGCAATTTGGTTCATAAGAATTTATTTTATTTTACAGAAAATTGCATGTATTTATCAACCACAACAAGAAGACACTTTTCCACTCTGTTTTTGTGGGTATTTTGCTCGTGGGTCCAGAAAAAAATAAACAACACTGAAAGGATCGCTGCAAGTTCGTTTTTACGTCTGGTAAACCTGCTCTGAAATGTCATACTTCAGGTTGTCCTACCATGAGTAAAATTTCATTTTAAATATGATCTGACTGAGGTGTTTTCATGACTGGAAAAGCTAGTCTCTGAATTTCGAGGTTTTCTAGATTTTCCAAGACACGTGGGAACCCTGGGTTTTCCTGGCCTTGTTGTATGAACACTGTGGCCCACATCATCCACCAATTACGCTAGATGAAGATCTTCTTTAAAAGCCACCAAGTTTTGTTAACTTTTATGCAACTGTACCATTTTGCATCGAAAGTTGCAGTGTGTGTTTATCTGTGCGTGTGTGTGTCTGTGCGTGTTTCCAGCCTACAGCACATATCCAGCGGTGAATGTCCAGGCGTGGACGAGCCGTTTGAGCCACTGGCGAGTGTGACCCTGCTCCAGCAATGCCGGCAGAACGACCTGCAGTAACAGCAGCTCCAAGGACAGCTCGCTGACTGGGGCATCGCTGCAGAGACAAGACATAAACCAAAAGCCAGCTCATTTTTCTATAGCAGCTTCCTATTTTGGTTATGGCTGAGCAGAGAATGGACAATGTCATCTTTAGCTTAGACATACTGAGATAGATAAATCAACATCAATTATTTATGGTTATTTAGTGTTGTGTGTACCTGTAAAGCATAACGTTGTAGGGAAGGAAGGTTGGGAAGAACAGTTTAATGATTCTGATGGGAAGCCAAAGCATCAGCAGAACTATGGAGCCAAAAACCACCTGGGAACACACACAGAAAAACACATATTTTCACTAGGGGCATTGAGATGAACTGATACGGAAAACAGACCTTTTCTAATCAGAGACTTTGCTAAATCTAAAAATCTGTCAAAAACCTGTAGCACAGTCAAAAAAGGCAGACAATACCACACACCTTGCTACTTATTTAACAGGCTGACATTCGCACTGATAGTAACTTCAAACTAGCCCCAGTTACTGAAACATACCGTTTCATTTACAGGGACAAGGAGGCACCTGTACAGTTTTATTGAAAATACCAAATTCACAAGGATCAAACGATGCCCAACCAGCATCATTTTAGGTAGATACACTCCCCTCCTTCTCACTTACCTCCAGTGGAATACAGCCATGCAGGCAGCTTTGGTTTTATTTGTGCTGGTATTGAGATATCTGTCTGTGAGATGTCTGCCTCCACTTAAATACAGTGGAGGTGAATTGAATTTCATTTAAAAAGGTGCTTAAAGCACTGAGAAAATATAAAAGAGAAAAAAGACACCATAGTAACATGTCTTTCCAGAAACAATGTTCCTGTTAGATAGTCCACAACTTCTTTGCGAACAGGTTTGTTTTTTGTAGGGACTGTTTCTTAGGTAGAAACATTTTAATGAAAACTGTTCAGAGAGGTCTGTGAATTATCCAGAATAACCAGGACACCTGGTAGAAATCTCAGAGAGGCATCTCAAAACCTAGGCAAATAAAAACATGCACTTAACCGGTTTACCTTTGTTCAACTTATATGAAACTTTGGAAAAAATTCAATAAGTAAAACCTTTTTCCTTTCACTTCCTTTCTATTGGGAATTCTTGTTTTTTTCACCATATCTGGCTAATGTTCTCTCTGCTCACATTCCTCATGCCAATCAGTCCTCAGAGGCTGTTCTTTAAATATGACTGTCATTCTGTCTTTCAGACCTACAACTGTGCATCCCACCACCTCCCCATAACCACCTTGTCCCATCTTGCATCTATTTGCTCCCCTCCACCACCAGCAGCGTCTGCACTGAGGTGGGTTCTACCTCTACCTCTGATGTTCATGGGCCAATGCTTACTGAAGATGCATCTTCTCAATGGGGTCTAATCACTTCTCTGTTATAATCTTAAACTCTCCTTATGGAAGTGTGTTTGCTATAAAGCATAGTGAAAGTGCAAAATTGAGGTACAATTATCCTCTCTAATACACTCTATTTGATTTGACAACAGCATATTTCTATGTATTAAAAGGTCCAGTGTGTAACATTTAGCAGGATCTATTGGCAGGTTCAAATGAACATAATATCCATAGGTAGGTTTCAACTAAATCCTACCCACTGGCCTTTTAAGCATCACAATTAAAAAGCATCTGAGTGTTGTTATGCCACTAAAGTTTAGGCTTGGGAAAGAACAGACGAGGTTACTTGACTGACCACAGAAAGTATAAACCTCCGCAGGTGTCTGTAGATGGGCAGGTGGATCATCTCTTGGACTGGGTTGAAGTCTGGATCATTCAGGTTCCTCAGGAACCACAGCACACCGGGCCGGAGCACCTACAACCAAGCAAACATGAGAAAGCTTAAGATGAAGAAGAAACTGGATGGTGTGGGAGTTTTCAGGACTGTGGCTCAAGTCCTTCACTTTACCTCTCGCAACAGAAGGATGAAGGAGGCGAAGTAGAAGACGTAGACCATGCCGACCAGCCAGTGGAGGAACATGGTGGTACCGGGGGCCGTGTTGAAACTCTGCTCCCTGTCCTTCAGAGTCGCATCAAACATTTCCTGCAGTGAACAAAGGACATGCAGTATTGTGTGTGTTTCAATACAAATGACAACAAAATCAGTTTTTAGGAACTGGTTTTGAGATTTGTTTTTTTAAATTGAATGTTCATGAAGTTTCTTGATCAGATTTGTATCCACTGCGTCATCGTGATTGCACTTAATCTGTTTGGTCAACATTAACTTTGACTGTATCAAAAGGATCAGTGATTTTACTCTGCATGATTGTCTTACCAGAGAGCAAATGTCGAGCCACCAACCACAAATCAGTGGGAACAAGCCGATCTCCATGACAACCAGCAGGGACACCTGCCACATAAAAATAAAAAAGCAATTTAGTTTCTCTTGTCATAATTTCTTCCTGTGTTTTAATTACTGTTTCAACTGAAAGCTTTGCTTGTTTGATAGAAACAAAGTAGATCTTTGGAAACATTCCAATCTTTCATCTCTAATTTACCTTGACAACAATGTAGCAGACACCCAAGAGGCGTCTGGACCGTTGGAACTTCACTAATGAAGCCAGTGCCTAAAGGAGGCAATGTTAAGGACTAACAACAAAATGTGAGATAAAGAACATTCACTCAATATTTTATGCTGAGCATCAAAACTTTGTATTTTTCATGAACACATTTCATACAAACTCTATTACAGACATTTTAAATAGCTATGCACAAAACCCACCAAAAACACAAATCACTCAACTGATACAAGCTGAAATAGTTCTACACAACCGTAATAAGCAACTACGAGTGTGAGACATACCGTCTGTCATACAAATAAAGTAATCTTTTGTATAAAGAGGATACATGGCAGACTATGAGAGCTCCAGCCAAGAGGATATACCCGAGTATGGTGGTGATGAGGCCGTCAAAGTGTGAAGCTTTGACCTGCAAAATCACAAAAATGCAATCGCTGCATGACAAACCCACATAAGGAATTCAAACTGTCCCCTCATGCATTGCTGTGCACTTACATAGTCTTCAAAGCCCAGTCCAACCACTGAGAAATGGCCAATGTGATACGGGCAGAAAGCTAGAGAGAAATACAAAGGTTAGGGTAGAATCTGTTGTTTAGTACAGTGTACAAGAAGGTACAAAAGACTGTCTGATATCACTGCATTATCGTGGGCAACCTACTTAATTCCCCCTCGATAAATTCACAAAGGTAATGAGTGCACGTACATTAGGTCATCACTATATTGCAGGTTTAACTTACCAAAGACCAGGATGAAAAGTGTGTTGAGAGACACCACCCAGAACACATGCTCCTAGAAAGACACACAACAAGGGTCTCAGTGTTAAACTATTTCTAGTGTTAAACCGATGAAGCTTGTGTATGCATCATATTAACAACCTGCTCTATGTCCCATTAAATGTGACAAATGCGGCTCTATGGGCCATGCTAACTATGCACCCACCACCTCTCTCTAGAGATTCCCAAAGAAGGACTAGTGAAACAACCTATATTGAGATATTGGAGCAATTAGCCAAAATGGCTAGTCCATGGTGCCACTTTATGGGTTGGGGACGCACTCCGAGACCAGCTTTTGAAATGATTCATGGAAAGAATCGTGTTGATTCGGAAAGCTGTAGGAGGCCTGCACAGATTGCCCTGATTCATTTTGTTTTGCACAAATCCTCGTTCCGATGAATCTCTAAAAGGAAGGTTGTGAGTACAAAGCACGACCCATAGAGTTGCAATCACCACACTTAAGGGAAATATGCAAGGCTGAAATACATATGGGAAGTCAGAAAGACATAAAATTGATTATCATGGATATATCGCTTGTTATTTTTTTTGCTTTTTTTATACAAAACATATAATGCAATGAAATACATACTGGAAAGAACTGTGATATATGGGTGCAAAATTGGTACACAAGTCACAGGAAAGGTTATTTCATTCCAGCTTAAAAATTCACTATACCACAATATGGGTAATTGGTGAATTTCTCCCCTCTAACATTGGTCTGAAAAATCCCATATCAGTCAGGCTCTACTTGAAACTGTGTGTTAGTGGAAAAAGAGTGGTGAACTTACGAGGAAAACTAGGGAGCCATCCAGCCCCAGCATCTGGGACACAAACAGAAAGCAATGTTATAATCATGATTATGATACATATAACTACATAATAAAACTTCTATTTTTACTACAACTGCAACTAATATGATGAAGAATACACTTATTGACCGCAGGCCAGCTACCCTGCTTACACTTGGCTTTTTTTTTTAGCATTGTGTCCTATCTACGTCACACCACTTAATGGAGCAGGAGACATGGGGATAAAAAAATAGATTCCCACCCTTTCCCAGGTCAGCTCCTCTGCTGCACGGTCCCATTCCAGGGCGTTCCAGTTCAAATCTTCTGCAAAGGATGATCATAAACAACTGAAACAGTGTGGAACACCTACAATGTGCAGCAAAAATATGCTTATAGATTGACACGTACTCAATCTTGAAATCACTCTTTCAGCATTTATGTCCATGCAATTTAACTGAGCACACATACTGCATACCATTTCTCAACTTTCATATCATAGTTTACTTGATAGTGTCAATTCCAGTCCACAGTAGAGTTGTGGGCACTTAATCATGTAAAAGAGCTTGAATTGCACTCATTTGTGCATCAAATCTCTTTGTTTTGATGCTCACACTGACCTTGTCCTCCATTATTGGCATCATCAGCAGCATCTTCTTCCCTGCCTTCCTCATCGTCTTCCTCCTCTTCATCTTCGTCCCCGTCGTCGTCATCTTCCTCATCGTCAAGCTCAGCCTCATCTCTGTGGTTTCCACCTTCCTGTGGGTTGTCAGGTGCCAGCCCATCTGGAGCAGGGTCTGCAGGGTGCTGGGCTGCTGCGCCGTCTGCAGCAGCCTGGGCGTTGTTACCACCTGGAGCCTGTGTAATCGGGAAATAAGAATTACAGTTCCCTACTTACAACATAGCCTGCACACAGTTAAATTAGGTGTCTGAGCTCTAATACGTGCATTTTGGATTTGGCAATTACAAAGAACAGCTTGACAGTTTGTGCAGCTGTATTCCCCAAATGCACGACATGGGAAAAAATACTTTGTCCCTTGTAACTAAGATATTTCAGAGAGGAATTGTTAAGGATTGACATAATCTGGCAGTCACTGCTTTACTCATTTGGTTATGTGTTCAAACAGACAAATGTCAGGGCTAGCTTGGCAAGCACATTCTCTGTCAGAAAAGATAACTGTTCTGAAGTTTCCTCTGAGAGGAAGCGTTGGCCAGACCAGGCAGGCAGAAAACACATGTGACCCAAATCAGAACATTTGCAAGAGAAGGAAAAAGTTAAACTTGCATCAATCATTTTTCAGTATGTAAAAACAGTGGATTTTAATCAAACTTTCTGTGACAAAAAAAATGGTCTAATTTGAAATAAACAACATCAAACTAAGAAGAAATGCCTTAGGTCAGAGATTCTCAAGCACTGACCTAAGTACCCCAGGGGTACTTCTGCAGTTGCCAGGGTGTACATGCATTATTCAACAACTTCGAAAATAAAAATAATGGATAAATGGTCAAAAAGGTTAGCTACAAATTGTGTAAATGATTTAAAAAAAAACATTCAAAAGTGGATAAATAGTTCAAAGTTAGCTAAAAATGTATAAATGACTGAAACATTCAGATTGTGCCACAAGAAGTACGAATGCAAAGTTAAACAAACACTGACAATTCAGATGTATAAGAAAAAAATTCTAATAATATCCTGATGATAAATACTGTTAAATCACATTTAAAATCAATTCAAATGAACACATTTGGAACATGACTGGTGATGCTGATGAAGGGGTAAATAAACTCCACTGGCTTATAATTTACAGACACGAACCTGTCACTGTGCCAGCTATGTCAGAGTGCATTAGTGGCAGAACATACGGCGTACGGAGAGGTCAATACACGTGGGTAGTCTACTATCTGTGCAGCTCTGTGTGCAGGCAGAAAAGAGATGCTGGTTGGCAACACAAACTAATCTCACCTCATTAGCTGGCGCAGGACCATTAGGCTGATTAGGAACTAGAGGGGGCTGATTCTGCTCTAACCACTGAGGGGCACCACCGTGGACAATCTGCTCTCTAAGCCACACCAGGCTGATGAAGGCGCACAGCGTACAAGTGACCACAAAACAGCCCTGGAGGCAGTCCGCAAGCAGGTTTTGTCTGCGATGAAGAGATGAAACATTATGGTTTTAGAGTGTGTTTCACAACATTTTCACAAATCACTTCACTACAGAGAGCTGGACAAAGGCACAGAAAAAGATGACATGGTGGATGAAAGGAGCTATTATGAATAACCACACTTTGAACACTAATCAGATCTTAACTATCTTAATGGCACTCCAGTGTACAAAATGTGGAGAACACACACAATCATAATGTACAGGAGTATGACAGTGTGAGAGAGAAGGGCCAAAAGCAAGACCGGAGAGTGATTCAAACTTACGTTGAAAGCATATCTAATGGCAGGGTAAGGAGAGAGCTCACAGAGCCGGTAAATAAGCACTTGTAGATACGACCTGTTAGAAAAGAAAAACAAAAAAAATCTGAGAATCATTTCTTAAAGTGACAACTGGCATGAAACTAAAATGAAAAACTATGCACCAACTTCTTTAACATTAATTTGAATTGTATTGCACTTATTGCTCTATTTACACCATTAGTGCATAAATGATCATTGTACTTGAGCCTGTGTACAAGAGCCTGGCACCCACAACAGAGGTTATATACTTTCTTTAAATGTACTACAAAGAGTTTTTAAACTGGTAATGAAACAGTCTCAATTTAATAACAGTGTTTTAATACATCCTACATACACAAACAAGACCATGGGTAAGAAGACTGGCCATTTCTATGTAGTTATCTGAATGCCTGCCACCAGGCTGGATTCCCCTTGAAATCAATTAAATGAGGTGGTACAAACATTACTGCTTTTGTCCACAGGGGGCGCCAGAATCAACACAAAATGAAAGTTGATTGTAAGGGCATTAAAAGTTAACTGTTTTTACTTGTGGAAAGTCACGTTTTCTAGCAAACCTGCTTAAGCCGGTTTGTCCAAACGTACATTTCAAACATTCTCTCACCATGTTGTTTGCCAATAAGCATAGTGAAAGCGTAGTCCCATTCTGTAGAAGCAGTCATGTGTGGCTTAAAGCTAATTTCTTGAGTGAGGTGAGTATAACAGTTATATTTGAGTTTATTTGTCATATTTAGTGTCTGTTCTTGGTTGGAAGTTAGGGAATGCATACAATATGCAGAGACAAGTGCTGATCAAATCTCCTTTCGTTTTGTTTTGTTTTTTAACAATGGAAAGATGTGACGTACATGCTGTGAGAGGCACCACGCCTAACCAGGCAAAGGCCACCAGTGTGTAGTGGAACCAGTATCTGATGGCTGTTCCGACACTGGTGACCAGCCCTGCAAAGATGTCCTGGACCGGCAAGCGAGATGGCATGTCTGGAGAGTAGACTGGAGGAAAGAGAGAATGAAGGACGTAAAAAATGAGGATAGTGGAAGTGAGGGAAATATTCATAATTATGCAATGAGTGGAACTAACAACAAATCCATGCATTAATGTACTCATCCAATTAGCTGAAAAGCTTAACCTTAATAAAGACTTACTTGGTGTAAATGCAAACCTGTGTTTGCACAATTCACAGTATTCTTTTCTGCTGTGTTTCAACCACTGCAGTAAGCTGTGAAAACAAAAGGACATCTTGTGAGTTCACTCATTTTATCCTATGGAAACCAGCACTCTATGCCCAAGAACCTCCCTCTACGGCCCTGCTGTAAAATCCCACCACTTTTTTTTATTAATCTTCACAACTGAAACATGAGCCCCCACTACCCCTAACATATTTCCCTTTTTGTGTCTGTTTTTGTGTCTGGTTGTTTGTCAAGAGTGTATTTATGTATAATCAGGCACACTGTCGAGATCTGTTTGTTATAATCCCTGCTATCCTACAACTTCCAATGGGTATTATTTCCCCATGTTGGAATACACTTGAACAACATCTGCAAAAGCAAACAGATTGACAGATAGAAAATGTAGACAGAAAGCATCCTACCTTTAACCCTTAAAAATAAAATGTTTGGAAAGGGAAGAAGAAATAATGGAACCATCATTCTGGTCATTGAACGCACCATTCCTGATGGATAAACTTGATGCTGCCAGTGCAGACACAGGGGTGGTAGAGCGGTTTGTCCTGGGTCCCCTCTGAACGACATACCCGACAGATGTCCGCTGTACAGTGGGCACACAATAACATAACTTACCAGGCATACCAGGACACCCTACTCCTTAAATATTTCATTTCTTCATCAGATCAGTGATCACACTCATGACACACCTTAGATAAAGTTTGAAAAAAATGAGAAATGCATGCAGTCTTTTTGCAAGAACACAAAGAGTTGCAGCAGTTTCAGAATCTGAAACACATTAGAGGTATTAGATGAGTGTGTGTCTTTAGTGAGCAGAGCAGGTTATTCACGGACAGTAGGGCAAACTGTAATCCTTGGATTACCTGTGTCACTGGATGACCAAAATAAAATAACTATAATTAGCCCTGGATGCAAGAGCATGATACCAGTAATCAGATACCCAGAGTACATTTTGACTAAGGTCACATAGAAAAATTAAGCTATATTGATAATATAAGAATATCACACTTTGTGACCACAGAACACCAAGCTAACGTTAACTTAATGGTTGCCCTCTCCGCAGCATAAACAGCGCCCAGAGAAAAGGTGTTAACTTTAAGTAACGTTGGTTGTACAACGTGAGAACAATGAGAACTGAAAGATAAGAGTGTGTGTTAATGGTGTTCGTCTTATGAACTATATTTAGATTTGGAATAAATTAGTGTAACGTAGTAAACAAGGCTTGTCACTTGGCAGGGCTGACCGGTGTGTCAGCGTGACGTTAGCTAACGTTAGTTATCGTAACATTATAACGGTTGCATTAAACTCACTCAACGTTAGCTCGCTACTAAATAATTAGCTCAATTGTGTAACTTTAATGTGAAAGGCCCGTGTTCTATGACTTATACCACCACAACCCACTTGTTGCAGATGTAGATGAACTGCAGAAACCTAACGACGCTGGTTTTATTTACAACAGCTGGTAGCTAACGGTTGTAAGCGAATGCTAACGGTAGTTAGTTAGCTACCTAGCTAACGCTAATTGGCTAGCGGTTTTTTAATTCTGGTGAACCTCTGTTAAAAGTTTAAGAAAGTGTAGGGTGCTGCCATTAACGACTGCTAATAATGGGTTAGAATATCACACGTTGTTACAATGCGCTGTTTTACCAGTTAGCGTTAACAAATTGGGGCAATCAAGTTTTAACATCGCTAGCTACCTTCCTCGGCGGTGTCCATCTTGGCTGGCTGCTCAGGCAGCCCTGCTCCACAGCAGTCAGGCTACTCACAGTAAAAGCGATGACCGCTCTCTACAGGTGAACATTTCAAGTTGGTAAAGTTTTAAGTTCAAGCCCCGATTGTCTTTGACCATATGTTTCGAAATTAAATAAAGCCTTTTCACTTCATAGTAGCAACATCAGCGAGCGGTCAGGACATACTCAAAGCCACAACATGATTGTGTCCTATTTTCAACACTAGATGGCACCCAAAGGCAACCAGCCAGCCTCACAATGGCATGTTGATTTCATTAAATACACAAGCCTTAAAATAGACACAGTGCAGGAGTTTGTGAAGATATCTACAAAATAATGTGGCAGACAGTCTGTATGATATGATTTCATACATGTATAAACAATTCACTGCAACTTTCAATCATCATCTTTTTTTAATCATTAAAGCACTTTTTCCTATTAGGAATTCAATTTCCTCAAGTCATCATCATTTACTCTTTGAATCCTGGTTTTGATCATCACACGTGTATCAGATCTGAAATGCCTGTCTGATCATTCAGCCGTCCATAGAGTGTGCAGCAATACAGACGTAGAGGAGATTCACAATTCTGCTGGAAACAGCCGGCTTTAACATGAGCGTCACCACTCATCAAGGTCAGTTCCAGTGTCGAGCTGTTTTTTCCTGCTTTTTACATGCTCAACCTCAGACTTGGACACTGATGTATAGAGACTTTACATTCATCAGTCCAGCCATGTCAGGTCCACTGGAGGAGGAGTAGAAATGCATGGATTTAAAAAAACATTGCATGATGACAACTTAACAAGATCTGTTAGCGTTTATGTTTGTGAATCTGGTGTGTCCTCGTGTTGTGCTGTTGTCTTCCTTGTCATTCCGTGTTGCAGGTGTGACTTAAATGTCTTTGCATCGTACACCCACACAGTGTCTATGCCCTCCCCAGCGGCATGTTCAGGGACCCAAGTGGGGAAGGGAAAGCGGCATGCCACCACCTTGGCTGTGCTCGGTAACTCGCTTGCCAGCTTCAGCTCCAGCTGGTCCATCTGCAGATAGACAGCGACAATCAGGATATGTTACGTGGTTGTGGAAGTGTAAATACTACTTGGCAAAGATGAAAGATAGAGCTTTAAGGTGATGAACAGTTGATTATAGCTGTCCCTAATGAACTGAATTGTGCCATTTCTCACCAAGAATGGATCATCATCACTGACACATACATGTCAGCCAGAGTAAATATAACAGAGGAGTGCTTTATTTTTTTATTTTGGGGCTTTTTATGCCTTTATTTGGTAGGACAGGTGAAGACAGACAGGAAACGAGTGAGAAAGGGGGTAACATCATGCAGCAAAGGCACGCGGGTCGAAATAGTACCCGGGCCGCTGCGGCAAGGACCCAGCCTTCACACCAGGTGAGCTACCCTGCACCCCTTGGAGTGCTTTATAGTAGAACTACAATAAAATGTGCTAGAAATAATATTACTTTAGTGTTTTAGTTACTTAAATTGGCACACATGGTATACATGATATTCAAAGAAAATACAATAGTTAACATAGCGATAAAACTGCTGTAGAACAAACAGAAGAACTCACCATCTGAGGGACTCCAAAAATGACAACATTGGAGTACTGAGCAAAACTGACCTGGCAAAAGAATCAGAAATACTGTTTAATGTTTTCACTTTCTTACACTAAGTGACACCAGACAAACAAAGAAGACATTAAATGCATGTCCCAAAATAAAGTCACTACATATTGTACTAATCGGGTATGACTGACCTTCCACAAGTCAGAGATGTGGAAGGAGGTGGAGCGATGGACTCCCTCTCTCCAGGCCTTGTAGCGAGAATACCACACCAGCCAGGGGTTCAGCTCAAAGCCCGACGCCTGGAACCCATGCTTGGCTGCTGCTATCACCTGCGAGAGGAAGGGGAATTCAATGCATCGACACTGTACAGCAGCTACAGCAGCAAGTGGATGAAAAGATGCGTTTTACAAAATGGATACTTGTTAAGGACTTTCTGCATTGTCATTTGTTTACGCTTCTAATAAAAGAGACAAGAACTTGCAGTCTCAGTGTTGATAATGTAAAGCAAGCGTCTGCAACATCAACTGTAGAGAGGTTGGTGTTTGACAGTTAAGAGTAAAAACAGCGTTATAACTGTATTGTTGTAGTGCAGAGTAAATCATGTGTGATAGGAGGCGGACAGAGAGGACATGTGACACACAACACAGGCAAATTGAGATTTTGGTCAGTATGTCAACACAGACTACACTTCTGCTTCTACCTCTAGCAGTGGCCCTGCTCATCTACATCCACAGGGTAGTGAGACATCCCAGCACTTACTATTCTTCCATCTCCGCTGCCGATGTCCACCAGGGTCCCTGATCTGGCCCGCAGCACCCTGAGGACATTGTCCACCTGGGCTGTGGTCGCTGGGACGAACGGGAGACAGACCTTCCTCAGAGCGGGAGTGACAAACGGAGCAGCCACCGCGTACAGGGCGACCAGCGAGCCCCCCAGCACCCCGGTGACGACGACACCGAGTCGGCTCCTGCTCTTCGTCTCCTTCCCGCCGCTGTCAAACGGGCCCGCCGGCGCCGGGTCGAGGAAGAGCGCTTCTTGTGGCATGACGCTAGTGAACGGGGACGTTACACGCTTTGACTACGAAGCGCTGGCTGCCATTAACATTAACATTAGCTGAACTTCATCAATGACAGCGGGCGCTTTGCTAAAGGTTAGCCGCTCAGGCTAGCTAAAGTAAATGTCATGAATAAAATGATATATTATTCAAACCGCACATGCTCATTATGCTAACCGCTGAGGCAAAAGCGCACAACACATTGTTATATAACGTTACCAGATAATGAGCTACTGATGCTGCTGCTAATCTGACATACTACAGGACGACCTGTGCAGCGATGTTATAAGCCCGTAAGGATAACAAAGATAGGCTAACAAAGGTTCCTCTCTGTGTTCGTACAAGCAAATAAAAACAAAACGACAAATAAAAATAAACATAATACAAATAAATACGCAGACGTATACACTAAATGTCAATGCCATGGTGCCATGCAGAGGAAAGGGAAAAAACGATATTTAATGAAATAAATACATAAATATAAAGCCATATAATCAACAGAAATCAACCAACCAGAAAAAAAGCAGGACAAGTCAAATTAAAAAAACATACACATAAATAAACATAAATAAATACTCCAAAACAAACAAAAACAGATAATTAAATGAGGTATACATTTACACAGCATCAGAAAATATAAGTTTCAAGCCCACTGGGTATCATATTGGCAAAACAGTGTTTTGCATGAAGCATTTTCTTTGCGTGCTGACTCATGACTAATATGCTTCCATTATATTCTGTCCATATCTGGTTCAGTGTTCTTTTTCCTGTTTGATTCTGGACCAGTGCTTAAAACAAAAACATCCTGTCTGCTGGAGGAAAAGGAATAGCCTAACAGTTAACAGTTATGACATGTTTCTTGCTTTGGTGGTGTAATAATGTTTAAACACAGAGGAAACACTACAAGTTATTCATAAAATAATCTCAGATATAATGCAGTCATAAATATATTCTACCCCAGAGTTGAAACTTAAAGCCAGACAAGGAGCAAAATAGGATAGGGGGAAAAAGGAACTGTGGTGCATTAATGGGTGGGAATTCAATTATCTCAGTATCTGTGGATATAAATCCTTCTTTCATCAATCCCTGTCAAATCTTACCACTCCCATTCAGATTAACAGTCAATATGTACAACAATTGCTGCTTAAGTCTTTGGTAAAGGGGTATTTTTATTATAATTACTAAGTGTTTCACAAGTCCCAGTCAACTCTGCATAAAATGTTCCATTTAATTTGCTACCTGGGAACAAGAAACACTACCAGGAGCTGTAAAGATCAGCATTTATTTGTATAAATTAAACAGAAATCTTATTTAAAAGGGAGTCAGGGATTTTAACCTCCACAGATAAAGAACTGAGGTGATTATGTGCTTTTAACATTTTCTTATTTCCATGTTGCCTTACATTAGAAGTCATTAGACAGTGTACGGTGGACAGTGTGGTCCAGCCCTGACTTCCCATGGTGCATATGGTGGTGGTGCATGTGGTGCTGGCTGGTGGTGGGACCATCATCCATCATCAGGTCATCCTCCTCCTCCGGCCTGTACCCCTCTGCTGCGTCCTGAGAATAGCTATGCTTCATCACCAGGATGCTCCTTCGGCCTGCTGGTGTGGTGTGGTGGGAGAGGCGCGGTGACTGCTGGCTCACCATCACCGGCGGCGGTGGCGGCGGCACAAGAACCCCCCCGTCGGTGACGGTAGCATCCCTCATGCTCAGATTGCTGCGGCTACCGTGGACACTGCCATGCACGCTCCCATGCTGAGAGCCGCAGTGGTGGTCGCGGATGCATTTGGAGGAGGAGCGGCGGAGTTTGTGGAACTTCTCAAAGTCCTCGGCCAGGGCGGCGTCAGTCAGTTCACCGGATGGGGCGCGGCGCAGAGTGCAGAGCTCGTAGTGAGGAGGCTCAAAACCAGGGTGCAGGAGGGCAGGGTCAAAGTCATCTCTGTGGATAAGTAGAAGAAAGAGGACACACACACACACACACACACACACACACACCAACATATGTGTTTAGGAAAGCATAGTCCATATGCTCATGTATATGAATAAAGAGTGTGTAAGTTACAAAAACAACCTGGAACAGGCCTGTGATTTGTGCACTTCTACACAGAACAAATTTGAATCTCTTTCTGTAGATTTTTTTTTTTCAGACTGAAAAACATTATTTGGATTGTCCACATACAGGGACTATACTATACTATACATACCCTAACAAGATGTTTTTCGTACCTATATATAACTAAACCTTAATTGCAGTGGTGTAGTAATGTTATTGAATATCAACTAATAAATGGTTGAAATGTTACAAATACTCTATATACTATTTGTAGGCAGACTATCCAAATAGTAACCAAAAGGTGTTTTATAATGCTAATAATTCTACTAAATTCCCCAATATCAAATAAATGAATTGGCCCTTTAGCCACTTAGCACCATGTTGCATTTACCCAGTAGGTTGAGGCCAAACTCCTATCCGCAAGTTATCAAAGAAACTTTCAGTACATTTTATGCATTAATTGGGGCACTATAACTAGTATAACATATCTGGGGCCACTTGAAGTCCAACATTCATTCTCCTTCCGCTGGTGGTTTGCTACAAAAATTACTGAGGGAAATATCTGACAACTGAGCTGCTAAAAGCTCCACTGTGTTCACCAGCTGGTTGCTATCTGCTGTCAGCTAGTGTACAGTGGGTTTATCAGAGCTTTTTTTGCAGAAATCATCTGCCTGCTGCACCTGGAAAGGGGGTTGATATGAGCGTAGTTTGTGAGCTAGAAAACCAAAACAATAAGCTAAAAGAGGCAAAAAAAAGCTCTAAGGACTAAGGGGAACTGCAGGGTTGGTTTGTCACTACAAGTGAGCCCTTTAATATTACACATTAGTGCAACATGTAATTCCCCCCATAGTCTTGAGTACCTTGCCAAAAAATATGGAATTTAGTCATGAGATATGCAATAAGTGTTTTTTTAAGATCTCACCTGCGGATGATGTATTTCTTGCGAGGCTGTTTGATCTGGATGATGACAGAGATGACGAGCAGGATGACAACTAGGCCACAGGTTACTCCAATGATGGTGAGGTTAGTGTGATCCAGCGTGTCCAGAATACTGGCTTTCCTTTTCTCTAGTTAGAGAGATAACATAGAGAAGAATGACTTTATGTTTGGCCACAGTCCGACAATAAGCGGCTGGTGGTGAGTTTCTCAGCCTTTGTGTCTGGGTACCTTTGCAGTGATTCTCATCCCATGGGTAAACACAGTTCTGGATACCATTGCAGACCAGGGTTTGGTTAATGCACATGTTGCTATGGCAAAAGAAAGTTTCTCCTTCACACGGCGCTGAAAAACAAAAGGCAAGAGTCATGCAGCTGTTGTACACAGCAGACTGAAACCAAACCACCACATTTCAGACAGACTGGAGACAGGTAAAGAGAATTGACAGAGATTTACTCACGTTCATGGAAGGTTGTGAAGAGGATCCTGAATTTGCTCTTCCTGCTTCCCTCGTCTGCCCACAGTCTCACCACGCCCACAGAGGACACCAGCATGACATCGTTGGCCACCGTGGAGCAGAACTTATTCTTCAGGTGCTCAACTGAACTGCTGCCATCGTAGATTGCGACAAAGTTACGCTTGCACTCGTTCGAGTTGTGCATCTCGTACTCCAGGAAACGCATGTAGATCTGTGGGTAGAAGGTTGAGTAGAATCAAGAGAAAGTGCAGTAAACTGACATTTACTCCTTCCTTCTGGCTCCTCCTTCATAACTTTTTTTTTTTTACTTTCTAAAACATTTTCTGCTAATGGTAAATGTCCACAGGAACAGTCATTTCCTGAGCAAAACCCGGTTGCATCATTAACTTCGTAGCTTATGATAACACCTGAAAATTTGTAAAAACTGAAAGGGCAATCATACATTTAATGGAAGTTTTGAGTAGGATGTTCTAAAAATGTAGGTATATTGATTTGTTTTATTTCATTCTTTTTTATTTATCCATCATGGCATTCTATGTGTTTAGCATGAAAGAACTACAAACTTTCATTTAGTTATACAACCTACAAAGTAGCCTACCACGGCTTTGGTTAAGGTTAGGGTTTGGTTAAGACTTAAAGCAGCAGTAAGATTTTTTGGGCACCTTTTTTGCAAACGTGACAGTATTGCCTACCTTTGCTAAACTCCCATTTGATGTTGGGCAGTTAGCATACAGTGGATTTATTAGAGCTTCTATGCAAAAATAAGGGCAATCATACATTTAATGGAAGTTTTGAGTAGGATGTTCTAAAAATGTAGGTAGGAAGCATAAAGATCTCGAGTTGATCTCGTCTCAACAACCAACGACTATGAACTTAATGTAAAAAGGTTTATATATAACCTATGTTTTAGATTTGTGTTAGTTTGGTGCTTTAGCTTAATGTTACATTCTGTGAGGCTATGAGAAGGACAAAACTCAACCATTTAGTTAAGTTCTTTGACAGTGGAAGTGCTTGGATAGCATAATAGTAATAATAGTTCTGATCCAACCTCACCCTGTCCAAAGTAAAATACACATCATACACAAATAAGTACAAAACCACCACTGACAAGCAAGAACAAGACCGACAAACAGTTGGACATATACAGACCCGAGCTTTTGGTGGAGCCTTGATGTACCACCTGCAGTCTATAGCCTCGGTCTGCAGCGCCCGGCCCTCTGCGGCTATCTGGGTGGATTCTACAAAGCCTTCCGGACCGCTCAGCTCAAAATCACAAACTGTGGATAACAATTTCTTTGTGTTAATGCCAGTTTTGAGACTGTATAATTTTACTGACTGTCAAATTGTAGAATGTAAGAATTTGGGCTCAGACACCTTAAATACATTCATTATCACCCTCTGTGTTTGCATATGTTATTCTGTTGATATTCAGTAGTATCTATATATTTATTCAAAGTTGCTGACCTGTTCCAATATTATGCAGCAAAAACTTGTATAATACTCACATGGCAGAGCTGGCAGATCCCCAAGGTCTTTGAACTCAGGATCTACAAGCAGAACATAATATTGTTAGAAAGAAAAACATCTTTGTAACATTTGCTCAAGTCGTTCCACAATTAGAGGCCACAGTTCACAATAGGATGCAGGGTGAAGGGTCCCAGAATGAAAGAATTTCCAAACTGGTACTCTACATGAAACACAAAATGTACTTCACATGCTTAATACAGATTAGTGTTTTTTTTTTTTTCAATTACTGATTTTAACCTTGATGTTACTTACAGCTGCTCGTTGTATAAACACAAGTGTTAAAATGTGTTTTTCATAGAAACAGTGTGATCCTGAAATTGTCAATGTTAAGGTTTCATGTGTAGTACATTTACTCTGTAGTTCTTTACTCACTTACTTACTTGAGTGTTTCCATTTTATGCAACTTTTTACTTCCATTCTACTACATCTTAGAGGGAAATATTGTACATTTTACTCCACTACATTTGTCTGACAGCTTTAATTACTACTTACTTTTCAGATTACAATTTTTCATGTCCCTCCTGCCCAGTGAAAACGAGCTATGTCCAATTTTCAAATTATTATTTTCTTTCTGCTAAACTGAAGGATGACGTGTTCCCTTATCGGTTTAGAAAATTCTCCTACTTTTTAAAGATCCAGCAGCAGTAATATTAATCCAATAAACATCATATATAATAGTAAAACACTGACAGGGAACCGTTTACTGCACTATGACTACTGTGACTTTTTATACATTAATAATAAGCAACAATTACTTTTTCTTAAGTAAGGTTGAATGCAGTATTTTCACAGTGTGGTATTAGAACTATTACGTACGCAAGTCAAGTCTGAATACCTTTGTTTTACGCTATTTGGACTTCTCTCAAACTAGTTATTTGTGTGTTGATTTTCTTACTGAATCATACATATCTAGACATATTTTTCTGTCAAATCATATTGTTTCTCCACAATCTTTCCATGCACATACAAGTACCTGGTTGAGAATCATTTATGCAGATACTATACAATCCATCCATTACATTTGGTGCCTGTTATCTGTGCTCAGGTTTCACACAGATTTTGTTTTCTAAAGGCTAGAGATTAAAACAAAATCTAATATCAGCAAAACTACCCCCCCCCAAAAAAATGCCACAGTAATAATAAAAATGATAACATTAAAGACATACGGTATTCCAAAACAAAATACAAACACAGCTGGTCAAATCTTACATAATCTATGTACCAGCACATTCCCTCTGGCCTCATTTAAACTCCCCTGAAACCCTGCTGCCCTTCATAAAAGAAGAAAAACACACACTCAGAGTCAGACAGGGAAGAGAAATTGTGTTCTAAACCTTTGTGCTGATGAATCTACTTGCTAGGTGGATTATAAATCCTGATATACCAGCTTAGTTTGGGACAGATTAGGCCCCACCAGCAATGTCAACACCGTGATAAATAAAATATCACTTCTTTCTTGGTTTTTAAAATTCTGCTGGAAGGACACATTTTGGTATTGTGTGAGGCAAAAATCCATACGTCAGTGAAACTCAATAAAATAATACAACATATACAAATGACAACAAACCAAGTAAAGAAAAAAATTTAAGCAGTGTCGTGTTGAGAGTAAGGACTTTTTAAATGAAGCTGAATTTAAAACCATCATTTGTTACGTCCTAAAATATTTGTATCACTGGAAATGCAACACATTGGACAGTGGCTGTGATGTAACAGGAGCAGGTGATGGACTCAAATCAACAAGGACTCTTATTAATCCTCTCATGTTCCTTACCCCTGCTTCTGCTCCAGGCTTGTCCAGATTACTCACATTCAGTCCTATTTGTGTGTGTGTGTGTGTGCACGTGTGTGTGTGTGTATTGCAACAATGCATTCTCAGAGGCTTTATACCCAATATGAGAAATAAATTTAAAGATTAGATGAAGGCAAAATAAAGCATGGTTTATGTAAATCCTCTCCTAATATTATTCAAAATGTGTGGTACACGAAAGAACACTGAAGATTAATACAACATATAGATATTTAAACAAGGTTAGTAAGGTGTTTGACTGTCGGATGTTTCATTTTCCACATTGACATTGGTATAGGTGTGTCAACTGCAAAGGCTCAAAATATGAGCTAGACAAGTTTGCCAAGAGTATCCACTTTCCAATACAATATCAATGTGAAAGACAAGCAACATGTATTGCTTAATTGATAGATGACATAATCAGATTGTGTGAACAAGCAGCAATGTAAACGCTTGACTTAGACTTTGCCAATGGGGTAAGCCAATTTTTCCAGCCTAGAATTTAAAACTAGCATAAAAATCTAACCACTGAAAGACTGTAATTGTCCTTTTTTGACCTGTATTTAAGAATGTGTACCTTAATCCAGGATTAAAGATTAGCCTAATAAAAAAGTGACTTTGTCTAAAATGAAGACACCAGAAGCTTTTTTTGATGAAATCAATTAAAAAGCTACTAAACAGCTGCTTCATTTCCAACACTGGGACAATACTACTTTCTCTTAAACTGAGAAGTTGTGCAAGTGCTCTTCCTCTTCCTCTCCTTGTGCTTTTGTTACCTTAGAATGAACCATTTTTATCTATAGACGCTGCGGGTCCCCTTAGGTGGTGGTCACCATGTTGGCAACACAAGCCTAGTGCCATCTGGTTTCATTATATTGAAGAGAGGGCAGACATCTCTAAGGCCAATATCTCCCAAACCAGACAACTCACATAAAAAACAAACTAGATGGATAAATAGCACTAAGACGAAAAAAATGTATTTTTGATTTTGAGGTGAACTGTCTGCTTAAATAGAGGACACATGTATAACAATGTCTTTTGCTATGCTATAAATAAAAAACATTAGCAATGTGCCAGTGCCCTGCAAACTAGCCTACATAGACATTTATTGCATTTATAAAAATTTTGCTGAGCCACTGATGATATTTTTTATATCTTGCGTGCACAACATATCAGTGTGTGAAAACTCTGAATGTACTAATGCTCTTTCGCATTGCTCACAACTGCATAAAAAAATCCCAGAAAAAGTTAAAAGTATGTATCACCCTTAGAAATGGCATGAAAGTTCATGCCTCGGTCAAAGTGTGCATCCTCCTGCCACCAGTAATGAGTGGAATTAGATTGGAGATTAGCATTTGGCATGGGAGGCTTGTTGATGTAAACAGACAGAAAACAGCTTTTCCTGATCTGCCAATAATGAAAAGTATCTTCTTAAAGGATGGCTCATGTTTTTTGGAGCTAGTTTTTTTTTTTTTTTAGGGACAAGGTTCTTGCTCAAGTGTTTCAGTTTCTGAAAATATAAATGTTAATGTATGCCTGGTAAGTTGTTAACACTGCAATGTAAAGTGACCATCCTGTAAAATAATACAGAAAGTGGTTCTGATGTTTTCTGACATGCACAGGAAACAACCTAGCCCGTACAGCAACTTAAAAACTAGGTTGATTTGGGACAGACTCACAGGACTGGTGCCTAAAACTGGAACATCCCTTGCGGGATATGAAGATAACATATTATATATATACAGAGGCTCAATCGTGTTAAGAAAGAAAGAAGGAAACACAGCAGGATGGCTGGATGGACAGAGATTAATCTTTGCCCCTCGTCAGTGTAGGTGGCCTATAAAATCTGCTGTTAATAAAGCCTCTGCCTCGGACTCCCTTAAGCTGCTACCGCGGCTCAGCGCTGACAAGCTGTATTCCCCTGAAGACAAGCTTTCATTAACTGGTGTGTGTCTGTGTGTGTGTGTGTGTGTGTGTGTGTGTGACTGAGGGAACAAGTGCTTGTGTTTGTATGTGCATGTGTGTGTATGCACGTGTTAGAATAAATGCTCAGCTCCTCTTCCCTTGTCAGCTGCAGCTGGTGTGCCTGCACTACAAATGGAAATGAGTGCACTCCCAGCAGCATGCCACTAGACCACCAATGTGCAACTTTTTGACTTCACATACACAATTAAAAAATAGTATATATTGCACATAGCCCCACATACTTGAATGTAATGTAATTTAAGGATCACAGGGTTTCTCTGTTGAATTGGTCTTATTTAAGTGCATACTGCATTATGTGCATGCAAATGTGTGTTTTAATTGGACTATATCAGCCATATGTGGCAGAGACACAAAGGGAGGAACTATGTTTTGGCATGTGGCAGCCAACAATGTAAAACTCACTGCAGGATGTCAGGAGGAGTCAGGAGTCAAAGGCTTAGAGCCGTAGTAATACTCTAAACATCAACAATGTCATTTCAGCAATTAAAAATATAAAATCAATGTGAATTATTCCTTTGTTCATTTGATGATATTTGGTGCTCAAACGCAGTCAAAGTGGATGGACACCGTTTATTTTTATGCAAAGATGAAACCATATTATCATCACTATCTTGTTGCTGTTTATATTCCCCCAGACACAAATTCAAAAGATGCACTGCATTTCCTGGGTGTATATATGTACATAAATAACTGTATATATTGATTTGTTTTATTTCATTCTTTTTTATTTATCCATCATGGCATTCTATGTGTTTAGCATGAAAGAACTACAAACTTTCATTTAGTTATACAACCTTTCGTTGTATAAAATGAAATGGTGATTATCAGCCTCCTAACCCCTGGAAATTTAATGCAAATTTTATTGCATATTGAAAAATAGTCAGAAAAAAGTCATATCAATTATGTTCCTCAATAAATTAGATTATGTGACAGAAGAAACTGGTTGCACTTTGTCTTGTTAAAAGTAGCCTACCACGGCTTTGGTTAAGGTTAGGGTTTGGTTAAGACTTAAAGCAGCAGTAAGATTTTTTTGAGCACCTTTTTTGCAAACGTGACAGTATTGCCTACTTTTGCTAAACTTGTCTGTCTCCCATTTGATGTTGGGTGGTTAGCATACAGTGGATTTATTAAAGCTTTTTTGCAGAAACAAAAACTTCAGCTGGAAACAAGGCTGAGACTGAACAAACAGTAAAGTTGTTGGCTGCAAAACTAAAACAATGAGTTGAAAGAGCCTAAAACGCTCTGCTCATGGGATTCATCACAATTATCAACACTTTAAACTTTACATGACACAATCAAACTAGAAACATAATCAAACTATGTCTTCTCTTCTTGTTTTGATGCAAGATACTAGATGCATTTAAGACCATGTTCAGAAGTGCAGCCCTCTCATTCAGATCACTGTGTAATCACTCACCTTGTGTGAAGTTATACCGGGCAGAGAAACCAGTGGCCTCCAGTTCCCCATCGGCCACAAACTTGATGTACAGGTATCTCCCGCTGGAGCGGACATATGCTGGGCTTTCCTGCCCGCAGTAGCGACCAATGATGGGCGAGAACCCAAAGGGCCCATCTCGGACCTCGATGTGGTCGAACTTGCACTCCCAGGATGGTTCTATGGAATAGTTGTCATCAAAGAATAAGTCGATGCACTGCCTGGGAGCGGCTGGAGGAGGAAGAGAGGGTGAAAGAAAGGGAGATGGGAAAACCTGGTATCACATTAAAGTGTTTAATACACATGCCTGTCCAAAATGGCAGTGTCATGGTTTACATCACCTTGGCGTGGCTGTGTCATGTTTTCAACACATGCTCATACTATTTCAAGTCAGCAATCATAAATGTGCAACGTCTGGTTACAATATCAAAATAAAACTTGCTGAGATCGCAGTTTGGTTAGGTTTAGGCACCAAAAACTACTGGGTTAGGTTTAGGAAGTGACTGTACCTGAAAAAATCAATGTGGACTTTTGGTTTCACATAGAACAGCAGTGGGTGAACAGTGGCCAGTACAGTGGTACCGTACCAATCAGAATCCTATGAGGAAGTGCTGGCAGCTACTGGGGTGAAGGTGTGAAGCAGCGAGAAGACACTGTTAAAAACCCCAATGGTGGTTCCGATAGAGGTTAGCGTTGATTCTGCTAGTTATATCAGAACTGGACAGTTTTTCTTTATTGAAACAGAGCAAAGACCGGCACTGAAGGCTTTTCTCTATGGGAAAGATTTTTTCGCTCTTCTTCTGACTGACTTCAGTAAGAGTTTGATACGTTATATGTTTCACTGATCTGATTGCTTGAAGTTTGTCCGTAATAGACGGGGATAGGCGGATGGTGTAACCAAGCACCTGCCTCTGATAGGTTAGGAAAGTGAGCGAGAGGCTTAAAAGAAAAGGATGAAAACCTCACCTTCTATAATGTAGACACATTCCCTCTCAGGCGGGTATTTCTCGGGGTAGTTGGGTGAGGTGAAATACCCTCCTTCAGGCTCCTTTATCCAGGTCCCACACTGCCCAGCTGGTGTCACACCTGAGTTGTTCTTTACTGGAAACACAAGTAGACAGTGTACGGACAGATGGACAGACAGTTGGACAGCATTTTGTATTGTATTTTTTGTATGTCAGTTCTTTCACTTAAAAGTCTCAAACTGGAACTTAAAGATTTGTTGTGTAGATCAAAAGTTATAAGTTTCTGGGATGTTATCCTTTAAAGTGTTAGGTGTAAAGTTAAATTAAATTTGTTTTATCAGGTTGCTTCTCAGCATCACACGGCTAGTAGTAGTATTACACAAATCTGCCCAGCTATTACACATTTTGACACAATAGAGCCAAACAGGAAAGGTGAGTGTTTATTATTTAGTAAAGTCCTTCCAGTTTGAAAGAGGATGAACTTAGGGTTTGATCTAATTTGACATATCACTGGATAATAGTGCTGTGGATTACACAAAGTACTATTATCACACTACTAAATTAGAGCATTAGAGAGTTATTAATTAGGGCTGCAACTAAAGAACATTTTCATTAATTTTGTTGTCATTTCGTCTGTGACATGTACGAAAATAGTAAAAAATGAAGCTCATAATTTCCCAGAGCTCAACGTGAAGTCTTATTATTTACAGCCCAAAATCCAGAGATATTCAATTTACAACTTTATATTAAAAAGAAAAACAGTGAATACATTTTTGAGGCCGAAATTAAAAAATGTTTGCCTTTTGTGTTTAACAAATTGTTTAATTGTTTGATTATCCAAACAACTGCCCATTCATTTTGTGTTGATCAAACTAATCTATTAAAGTGGATTTAGTAGCATCTAGCTGTGTAATAGCAGACTGCAACCTCCTCGCTTCACCCTTCCTTTCCTCTGTGAAGGAGAAACTACAGTGGCCGTAAAAAACACGAACGGCCGTATCTAGAGCCAGTGTTTGGTTTGTCCCTTCTGGGCTACTGTAGAAACATGACAGTTCAACATAGCGGACTCCATGGAAG